AAAAAAAAAAAAAAAAAAAAAAAAAAAAAAAAAAACCCCATTGACACCGGTCCACTCTATTTACATTGGGTATCAACCGCATGGTTTGCTGACTGACTGTCACAGTTCTCTCCAAATAACAGGATTCAGAAGTATGTAGGGGCACAAGGAGATATTATAGGAGAGGCGAAGAAGGAAGGGGGAGAGAGGGGATAGCGGGGGTATGTGGGAGATCAGATGCTAGTAATCCGCTTTGAAGCTGCTGGTGGTCGTTGCTTGATAACCATCTCAAGCTCCTTTAGCATGTTGGTGTTCGCATCAAGGCGCTCGCGTGCCGCTGCTTGTTTTGCTCGGTCTTCTTTGACCCGAGCGATTCGCTCCTCTCTCGTCAAGGATTGTCTCTTGCTACGGGCTGGGAGGGCCACGGCTTCAAAGATTTCCTCCTCGTCATCGATGGTATGAATGATGCTGGAATCCGGCCTTTCGCCATTCAAGGCTTTAAGCGCATCGGCTGGACTACCTTCCACCGCTGTGGAACCGCCTAGACTAGGAGTGGGGGATGACGGCAGCTTCCACTCACTCAACGGCCTCGAAAGTCGATCCACGTTCAATCGCTTGTCTGGCGTGATACTGGCCATGGCGGCTTTACCATCCTCCCATTCTTGGAGAAGGTTTTTTATGTCCGTTCCGATTGATTCGTAGTGAGAAGCAACCGTCGCTTCATTCTCGTCATTCTCATCAGCATCCGTTTGTTCCAAACTGGCACTAGACATTTCTCTGATGAGATGCATTTTTGCGTGAAGCGCGCGGATTGCCTGTGAAAGAGAGTTAAGCTTCCGATATTGCGCACGGAGATGCTCTTTATTAGGAGATGCTGTGGGTAGGGGAGACCGAGGAACTTGACTGCCTAAAAAATAGGTTAGTGGGGTCTTTGGCAGGTTCGCTCTCGTACTCACTGTCTTCCTCATTGAGGATGTTGGTCATCTTTTCTGTATTTCTGCCGGTTACCTCGGCCAGGTCCTGCATCTGCTCGATAGCGATGGTCCATCGCGCGATGTCGGATCCTCCACCATCGGCACCCAAAGCCAATAGGCAGCAGAGTATGCTCTTTCTCACGATGTATAACCGTCCGAATAGGGTTCGAAGAGCGCGTAAGGAGTATTGATCTTCAACCGCCCGCTCGGCGAGTGCTGATTCAGCCTCCGCTAATTCTTCCTCCGAGACATCGTAAATGTCATAATATTTGGCCAGGTTGTCATTATCCGTGACGGGTTGCAAAGAGCGTTGTGCCTGTATATACCGTTTCAACATGGCGTAGAAGCATTCCGACACAGTCCGACGCAGCCTCAAGCATCGCCGCGTTTGCGCTTGATCCTCGAGTCTAGATATGGGAGGCAATGGTGTGCTTCTATGATTGAGTTAGATACCGAAATTCGTCGGTTAATTGCAGATGAATGAGAGGAAGACTGGCTTACATGCGGTAGCCTCTGGAGACTAGCTCAACCTCCTGTATGAACACGACCGATGCCGAAGCAGCAGAATCAAACCCTTGAGCGTTGCCAATGAAAAATGCCGCCGCATCCACAGATTGGTGTCGCAAATACTTAAGCCATTGTCGTTTAGCGAATGCATAAAACAGCACCCCGATTACGGGTACCAAGACTAACAGTACGCCAACTTTTCGGGGGTTCAGGCCTGAGCCCGTTCGAGGACGACTCCAGTGCAGCAACCAAGCGATAGAGAAGGATGTCGAAGCTGTGACAACGGCGCCCTGTAGTCCAAAAGTTGAAGAAATTGACGGAAGATCGGCCGAACGCGAACTAGACAGCACATCTGCAGCCGAAGTATAGGAAGGGGCGCTATGCTCGTTCAGCAACTGCGACGCGACGATGACATAACCGAATTGTTCCAGAAACCTCTCATTATCGCTTCGTCCAACACGCGAATTCAACGCCGACTGTAGACTTCATCAGCCTAAAGGCAATCATAGATAATACAACGACGTAATTGGAACCCATACCGTACAGGCGTCGTAAAGTTTGCCTAGAGCCGCTCTTTGGTGCGATGACTTAAGGTCTAGTGGTCTAGGGAGCTTATTCCGGATCCGTTCTTGAAATCTTGACGCTCCTCGTGGAGCAAAATCCGCCGCTGTTGACTCGGAGGCAATATCGCTATTCTCTGTCTCCTTAACGGGCCAGCTTGGGTCGTGCTCACCCTCCCCTGGTGCGCATTAGACCTCTGTGACGCGAAAAACCAGAGGTTTATAAGGACTTATGAAAGCGAGAAAAGGACTCACCTTGGAGATAATCCGCCAAAGGCGAGTTTTCATAAACAAGAGATTCCATGATCGGTGGGCATGCCGTAAGCCTGGCCGATAGGGAGGGGGCGGGTATGTGGGCTGCTCGGTGCTCGGTCTGGTCGGCGGCGGCGGCGGCGGCGGCGATGGCTTCGTTTTATTAAAAGTATTATAAGGAGCGTAAGAAGGAAAACGATAAGGAACGTAATGGGAGTCGGACTATGGAAGGATCATCTCCGAGGAAGAGTCCAACAGCGCGATATGGCGGTGGTGGTGGTGTGAGAAAGGCAACAATCAATGGCGGAACAACCGGGGGTTCAGATGTGCTTCGGAGGGTAAAGAGCGCCAACAAACAAAGGGAAATTCAACGTCCGCAGTGGGCGTAGGTTCGAGTTCAAGCCAGGTTCTTTACCCCTGGCAGATAGTGTAAAAATAGTGCAGGCACAGTGAGCCACGTTGAAGATCCGGTCCATGTGTGTCTGGGGAAGGGGAGGTTTTGGATGCGTCGATTGTCGAATCGGAGACCGGATCACCGTTCGGAACAGGTTTAAAGCCAGTGTTCACGGCTCCACCGAACTAAGCCACTCTGGGCCGTTTATGGTTTTGACCCCCTTCTCAACGGGGCTCTTCGGTCAAATCCTTTTCGAGTAAATTGTTTTGCCTACAAAGTACAGACACCACGAGGCTGTGTTTTCTTATATCATGGTGAGTCAGATCTGTAATTATTCCAATTGAAACCTTCCTCACTACACCATCAAATCTCACCATGCCTCATGAAACGGCTATTCTTGCAAAATAAGACCGAGTAACCGCCGTTGCATCTTGTGAAGGCCGACGGATGACGGCGGGGTTGGCCGAGGCCCATGCATCATACTACCAAACTACTACGACACCACTAGGCAGAGAACTGTCGTTTCAGGTTGACTATAAGCTAGGTTCTCCGTACCTTTTTATTTGTTATCGTGACGGGTTTAATTATACTCTTCTGCTTGTTGTCTTAAAAATTAGCAATTTAATACAGACATTGCAATATCGAGGCATACCCTGACTGGCTTTCCACGGAGCAAACACCTTTCATGACCGAGTAATTCAATTTTAAGTATCCCTGCATTCAGAATGAAAAAGATGATGATCAGACCACATGTTAAAAACTAAACAGGAAGCCTTTTCCACCGGATTGTTGAGGAGTTTAACCTGATGGATACCTTGAATCTCGGTCCCAACCTAATTTACTGATAAAGTCACGGGCCAAATGACTAAGGGCCCGCTAAGCTGGATGAAGCAATATATGCAAACCACTCAATATCCCCTCAGAGTGGAGAACTTTCGCCGTGAACAAACTCTTCGTAATCGTATCCCAACTGCAGTGATGGCGATTCCAACTGAAAGGTACCTCATCTTAGGATGTTGTCAAGGCAAACTAAGACTCTGTTTAAGCTATAGGAGCAATCTTTGCATCCCAGACCCAAACCTTATGTGATTGTCAGCCACAGTTAGATTGTCCAATGAAGATCGGCATATTTCAGCTCTATACATTTATCATGTACTTCATTCGAGGATCAGATTCGGGAGTTCACCGAAATATCGTGTTCTGACCCAGAAAACGAGTCAGATTAAGTTTTAGCGATATTTAAAGCGCTGCTCCCTAACCGACTCGTCATAGCCATATTGGCCGTCAACCTATCCTCTTCGCTGGAATTGTAACTCCCTCATAGTTATATGCAGCTTGACGTGGACGTGCATGAAAATGGCTGGACAACGAAAAGACACAGCTCCGTTTATAAGCTGGCCAGAAAATTCTGTGCTTTGCAGCTATTTTGAAAGATAGTGGATGTTATCCCTTCCTACATCCTGCGATATTTTTTATTATTTCTTTTTCTTTTTCTGCTCTTTTCAATAAGAGTGAGGAATAGGATATGGAACTGATCATCGGTCTCTGCCTGTTAGCGCCGCTTTTATTCCTCTGTACCCCTCTCAAGCGCTTCATCGGTTTAAATGCATCTGAACTTCCACTTCCTCCTGGCCCAACATTACTTTCCGGGCCCTTTCCAGAGAAAGATATCGCCAAAACATTTCAGAAATGGAATAAAAAGTATGGCCCCATAGTGAGCGCAAAGATTGGAGCCCAGCAATTTATCATCCTGGGGAGTCGTCGAGCGGCCCAAGACCTACTGGAGCGACGAGCAAGTATATACAGCTCGCGTCCCGCGTCCAAGTTCTTGGATAAGTACTTGCACAAGGGACTGGCATCTGCTTTCATGCCATATGGTGCCCAGTGGAGACTCCATAGACGGTTGGGCTCGTCACTCCTCAGTGAAAGGGCGTCTACTGCCTATCGTCAACTCCAGGATTTCGAGAGCAAGCGACTTCTTCATGAGTTCTTATCCACGAATGATTTTTCAGAGGCCTTCCTCAGCTACACATCGGACATCATGTTCACGCTTGTATACGGAAAAGGGAGAGGCAAGGACGATAGCGACCATAAGATGTTATATCAAATAAATGAAATGGCCACATTCGTACTTCAGAAAGCTTCTTTTGGAACGATTTTGCTTGACCTGTTCCCCATGCTCGACTGGCTCCCACATTGCTTCTTGACTTGGAGAAAGAAGGCAGAAGAGCTTCATTATAAGACCAAAGAAGTCTATACTGAATGTGGCAACATTGCGCTTGGAGGCGACTGCTGGAACTGGAGTCATGAGGTCTCTCAGAGAAGCGAAGCTAAAGAGCTCCCCTGGGCAGATGTCTGCTACGCCCTGGGCGAACTTTACGTAGCTGGAATCCATACGACTAAGATGGTCTTGGAGATATTGATTATGGTATGTGTACTCCACAAAGAGGTGAAACAAAAAGCACAAGCAGAGCTAGACTCCGTTGTCGGCGAGGACCGATTGCCGTCGCCCGACGACCTTGAGAACCTTCCATACATCCGGGCGATCGTCTCTGAACTCCTTCGCTGGCGCCCTATCTCTCCAATTGGGGTTCCTCACGCGGTCATACAAGACGACGAGTACATGGGCTACCGTATCCCTGCCGGCGCGACGGTAGTCGCAAACCAGTTTGGGATGAACATGGACGAGGCGACTTTCGACAATCCCGCAACCTTCAATCCTGATAGATATCTCAACAACCCAGATCTCCCTGTCTCCGCTTTTGGCTTTGGACGGAGAATATGTCCTGGTCACCGACTCGCACGGGGCAGCCTACTGATCGTTACTTCACGTCTGCTCTGGGCTTACGATATCACATCTGCACAAGGGGACGCTGATCTTAGCGGCGAAAGCAGTCCCTCTTCCGTCAAAGCCTTGTTTCAACCAAGGAGCTCAAAGCATGAGCGGGTAATCAAGAAAGAGTGGGAGGATACCGACAAAGACGAAAAGCGAATCTTGGAGAGAATCCGGGACCGTATCTGATGCATGGAAATCTATCTACACACAGAAGAATGACCTTGGATCTTCCCAGTATCTCAGTTAAATGTCCAGCTATGAAAGTGGAGTTGGAAAACAACCTGAGTCATTGATGCGATCTGGATTAAGATCTCAGGAGTGAAGCGCTCGAGATATATCAATATCGCATTTAGAGCCCCTAAAATATATACGAGCTTAAATGTGCTATTTTGTCTTTCGAAAGAGAGAAATGAATAGTATATGCTTGCATAATCTCACGACTTTCAAGTCCTCTTAATCTATTGTTGAAGGGCCTTCCATTATTTTGTAGACAGAGCACAACGGTTAAGGCACATCATAGGCAGAAGCATACTCAACTAGGTTTTCCATTACGAAGTAACTCTAGTGATTCTATTACTAAATAATATCTGCTCAGACAAAACGATGGCAGTACTACTAGTAGTAGCTGCCGCCAACTGAGACATACATACTGCATCTGCATAAATAATGCCTCAGGCACCACCGCGTTGCGCCAGCAACCAACCCATCAACATCGCGTCCCCATCTCCATACCTCGCAATCCACGGTTCCAACATCTGTAAACCAATGAAGAATCAGCTACCTCTGCCTTATCATCTGAAGGTACAATTTTAGTCACCAACATAGCAGATCAACAAACTGTACCTCCAACGCGACGATCTTCCGAGAACTACCGGTTGCTCACCCCCGCGTTGCCCCTTACTTTAACTACGTACCCCTCGATACGATATCACAGGCTTTGTTTCAGTCCAAAAACATTATATTAGACACATGTTGTTATAAGGGCTTATGCCTTCTATTGCACCACACTCACTTCAGATCGGTTAGATATTGTTCGACAGTATCATGTCAGGTCTATTAGGAGAAGTTGGCACCCCGTGCCCATCAAGATCTTCTCGATTTGACCGGAGCAGCGGAGGAGATAGCTCGTTTAGCAAGCTCTGGGAGGATAGCTTGGAAAACTGTGACGAGACGGCCAACATCGAATTCACCACCGAGATCAAAGCGCCGCTTCTAACGACAGTCAAGCCCCGTCGAAGGACGAAGACCGGCAGCTCTTTCGCTATCCACGATGATGGCGAACAGAACCCCGTGCAAACAGTCAACCCGAAGAGAAGGGAAATCCGTCCAGCAGTCGCCCCTTCAGGTCGAAAGATGTCTTTACTGGCCCAACCGGCCCAGAGGTTCCGTCCGAAGGTTAGCTTCACGGCTAGTCCACCTAGGACTTCGAAGCCATTAGGAGAGCCCGAGAAGAAATTGCGGAGTACAAAGCTAGACGCCCAAAAGAATAGGGAGCTTCTGATGCAGATTAATGGGAACGGACGTCAAACTCCATCGAAGAATGCTTTGAAGACTGATGCACGCCGTAACACGGTGTATATTCCGCCGGATGACTCCACTGTTGCGAGCGTGTTTACGGGTATCATCAGCCCTACCAAGTCTAACAGTATGCAAGACTACGTTCCGGAGGACACGCAGGTTAACGCCTTAGAGTCACATGTCGCTAGGAAGCGGCAGGCTAGACGCTCTTTGGCTTCATCCGCGCAGCGAATTCCGCTTCAACCAAGCGCGAAAGTTAAGCAGGAGTCTTATATTCACGTCGATATTGCTGGGAAGAACGGTGGAAAAGAAAATATTCCTCCTGGAGCTTGCCTTCTCGGCAAGGGAAAGGGCAAGGATACTCAACCCATGAAGACCAATGACGAATTTAAAAACCCTCGAACAGCTTCGAAACCTGCACAAGCTCAACTGCGTGGATATCCTTCTACAAAGCCGATGAGTCCACTCAAAGCAAGGTCTGTTAATGGGACTGTGAAGCGAACAGTGATGAGAGAAAGTAGAAACAACGCCAAAGCAGCATCCGTTCATGTGGTACAAGAAAGCAACAAGTTGGAAAAGCGAAAAACAAACGACAATCGAGCTCCCTCAGTTTCTAAGCATTCCACACTTTCCAATACGTTGAAGAGCTCTGAGATGCGCGTCAACCTCTCCAAGGCCTCGGTAGTGCGCCCTAAACCGAACCACATTGACGACGAGTATCCATTGCTGAAGGACGATATCACAAAGCCGGAATTGTATGAAGATGACTGGCTCTCCCATCAGGAGATCATGATAACTCAACTGGCCAATAGGGTTTTTGATCAGACCAACGAGAGTTTAAGCTTCCAAGATCCAACAGCACTTCGACATGAACTACTCAAGCTCTACCAGAACACACCATTTGCACATCTTTATAAGAGGGTCCAAGCATCATTGCTATACGGTGCCATGAGTATCCCGAGAGATGTGCTTGGACGGAATGACCGGCTGCGGCAGGATGTGGGAATGAAGCGAAAATTCTTGGACTTCTGGATGCAAACGTATGATCCACGGGCGTTACGAGCGGCAGTGGAAACAGTCACAGGAAGGAGGATGACCGATAACAGACTGGCTCAGGAGAGCAGTCATAGCCAACCTGACATGGACTTTGGCGATGGTAAAGCACTGAAGAGAGGACTAGAAAACTTTTTAAATACTTTTTTGCTGCAAAACCAAGACATGGAACGACATGCTAGAGAATTCAGCGGCGGGGATTCAGACGAGGTTGGCACGGCCTATCATCGCACTGTACTTCGCAGCATCATGATCGTCATCCTCTTGGACAAGGGAATTTCAAGCCCAGGGACGGTACTTCCACGTTGCCTTTTCCTTCGTTCATCCCAGTTCAAGTCCTCTGCCGCCGTGCTCCAGGCCTTAACTCGTTTTCTTCTACCCTCGTCCGGAGACATCATCAAGACGCTTGGTCATTTAGACTGCCAGTTGGTCTATGAGCAAAGCGCGCTGCAGGAGTACGACTACCAGATAAGCAACTTAGCTGTAGACATGAGAGACGGTGTCCGGCTAACTAGGATTGTGGAGTTATTATTATATCCGACCGACTTATGCCTCGCAGATGGGGCGCGTTTGGGCCCGCTTTCACAAGGGCTGAAGCTTCCATGTCTTAGTCGCGCAGTAAAGCTGTTCAATGTGCGAATTGCTCTGAATGCATTGGCTTGCAGCAAGAGTTCCCACAAGCTGGTTCGTCGTATCTGTGCGGAGGACATAGTCGATGGACATCGTGAGAAGAACGTCGCACTTCTATGGGGCCTTGTTAGCCAATGGAGCCTCGCTCGGCTTGTCGATTGGGATGACTTGAGAAACGAGATCGACCGCCTAAAGCAGAAGGCCGTCTCTCAGTATGGGTATGAGTCGGTCAAGGGTGAGGGATGGTTCAATAGAGATTTCGATGGTTTGTATGAGCAGGGTGACGAGGCTACATCGTTGCTTCGACAATGGGCCTCTATTCTGGGATATTTGAAAGGCCTACAACTTGAGAACTTTAGCACCAGCTTCGCGGACGGCAAGATTTACGAAAGCATTGTGGATGAGTACGAGAACTACATACTCAAAGGGAGTCAGCCCCTATCTACGGAACTCATGGAGCCACTCTCCTCGCTGCAATCTCGCCTCAGGGAGCTAGGATGCAGTGCAGAGCTCGGTAAGTCGTCTAGTGAATACCCATCATGGAGCCCAACTAACAACTACTAGCGTATCTCATTTCCCCTAGTTCTTCAAGGGCGCACATCCTAAACAGCGACTTCACACTGGGGGCACTCACCTTCCTCTGTTCTCGATTCCTTTCCGCAACTAAGCGTGCTCGCGCGGCGACATTTTTGCAAAGGAGATGGCGACAAGTCCTCGCGCATCGGGATCTCCAACGGCGGACAGTCGCCCGAGACGTCGCTAGACAATGCGCAGCCGTCGTGCAGACAAGAGACCGAATCCTCTGGGCCAAAGAGATCATTATCCGGTGGTGGAGAATGGTGAAAGCGACGCAGCAGCGGCACAACACAAGCAGCAGATACGAGAAGCTAATCCCTATGTCCAAGGGGGTCCCTCTACGTGGCCAGCGGTCCGCGTACTGAACTCGGACGTTTCATATACCCGCGGTTGCATATTGGGCATTGGCAAGGCAATGACCCTTGTATGAATTATAGAGTACGATGTCAAGCCAATCACTCAACATTGCCTTAGTTTGGCTGTACTATTTTCAGCGTCTCCAGGATCATAGTCTTTTGTCCAGCGTTATGTCATAAATAGGATAATACTATTATAGTAATGCATAATGAGAATAGAAACCACGACAAAATCAACACCAGATACGTAAGGTATAGCTTGAAACGGAACAAGGCACCAATCCAACAAAAAACAAAAAAAATAAAATAAAAAAAAATAAAAAAGAAACAAAATCCCTCAGCGAACTTCCAACTTTGACGTCAAGAACAAGCAAACAAACAAACCATTTCACAACCCAACCACCTAATGACTTGATCTCTGGAAACAAAAATAGAACCTCATCCAAACAAACCTCCATCGGAAATAGTTACCAGACTTTGATAATCCTCGCCACTGACCCCCGACCGGAAAACTACTTTTAGTGACTTGCTGACAACCATGACATCATTCCATTCATCTGACCAACACCTCATTTATATGTCTGCCTATCATCGTCCTTTTCCTTCACAGTAGATTAGGAGTTTTTCGGGTGGACGGACGTAGTAAGTAAATTCTATTCCTTTCTAGCGTTTGGAGTCGGGTATAGGGTGCATTAGTATATGCTTACTTTACTATTGGTTTTGGTGTTGGTGGAGGGGGAACTATGATGTTATGTTATATGTGATAGTTTTCTGGGTTGTTGCTATATGGGGGGGTTACTTATGTATTATTATTAATAATTTAATAAATGGAGTAACTAGCTTTATATATAGGTTACAAATAGAATATAGGTATTTATTTATGTTACTAACGTATTGTGGTGGCCTGGAAGATGAACAGGACTGACTGATGTTTACGTGTATAATTTTATATACTCTATAGTTAACAGTAAATGTAATACACAACCTACTATCCATAGGGTAAATATATGAAGGCCTAGATCAAATTACATAAAAGTGATGATTCCTGGAGACTTCCAAGCCACAAGTTACTAATAGGATTGTTTTGTTTTTGTTTTTTTGTAAACTCTTTGGTTCGTTACTTAATAGATGTGGTAAGCCGAGGTGGTGGTTATGCTGAAGGTTGTTTCGTTTCGAGAAGGTCGCTTTTTGGGAAGTTTTGGATTTTATCTTTTTTTTTTTCCTCCTCATCTTTCTTCTTGAGAGTTGGGGTGTTTTTTTTTTATATTAGGGTTTCATTGTTGATGTGGATTTATTGAAAGGTGGATGTGATCTGTACATCTGTATGTATGTCTCTCATATTCTGTCTGTTCATAAGATTAAGACATCGGATTTGCTAATGCACTCTTATCTGAGTGCAGATTTTAGATAAACAAATTACTATGTTCAATAATCTTGGGATTGCTATGTGTAAATGTTAATAGTCCGGACAGAAGAAGAGGCTCATGCCTGAGTCATGCTGCCGGTCGGAGGCCGTCACCTAAGCAGAGCATGCGTCGAGTTTAGAATTTGAGTCATTAGGGGGTTTTTTCCAGTCTGAGTCTGGATCTCCAGTAGGCAGCACTATTGAAGTTTGACCCGGGAGCAGTTCGTCCGTCTCCTTAACGAGTCCGCGTGCCGAGCCGTCGACGTAGGTAGTGATGATTTCCCGTTCTAATCACAACTGGCTCTTGCATAGGATCGACGAGATCTGCCTCCACTGCCTCAAGAGGACGGGGGGCCTCCGCGGGGTCCGAGAAGATTGTTTGAAAGGGCCCGCGCGACATCTTGGGAATGTGGAAGTTCTTGGCCGCACTTGGCAGCGTAACGCAAGAAGAGGACCGTCTCGCTCCGGAGGACCGTCACACAGGACGCGCAAGGAGAGAAGAATGTAAGAAGACGAAAAGTCAGACGGTTCTTGGCGGATTCTCCGTGAGACGGAGGGGAGGCGCAGCCATCGCAACGTTGCCAAGCGCTGCTGTGGAATGGACCATGACCAGCCAGCCAGAAGGGCAGGAGTAAGGGGTCGCTGGAGGAGAGAGAAATTGGGAATGTTTTTTCTCTCTCTCTCTCTCTCTCTCTCTCGAAATGCATGGGGACATACTGGTTATATCTTGGCGGCTCTTGGCAGAGGTCTTGGCTGCCCATAAAGTTCCAGGGGGTGGTGTGGGAATACAAAAAAAGCAGAAGTGCTAGAATGCCGTAAAGTTGGGGGAGAGCGTCGATCATCAGATCAAGTGATGTGATGTGCCACTCCATCTATTCGTTCCTCTCTCCTCTCCCCTTTTCCTCTGGGTGGATAGAGTGAATGACAGGTACATACATCCTGTACATCCTGTACATCCTGTCCGTTCAGGTGGCATTCGGGCCGAGTGAAAGGGAGGGAGTTTATTGTTTTCTGGAAAACCGTTGTTAGCCAATGAGCTGTTAAGTAAGGGTCATTCCATGTGTGATTTGGTTACACAATTTGGATCTTCAATAATCTCTTTCTTTTATTTTTATTTATTTTTATTTTTTTGTTTTGGTTCTTTTCATTCCCCCTCCCTTGTGGTTTGGATTAAATTACCACGCACTGGGAAATCCGGTACCTACCACCGGTATTTTGTATTGGCATTACCGGGTCCGGTTTGATGAAGAAAACCATCGTGGGTCCAGCGAGACAATGGAGAAAGGGCTCGATGAATTGTTTGCATGACAATGGTTACTCGGTCATAGGAATTTTGATGATCGCACTCAAAAGGACGATCGAAGGGAAGAGTCAAAAGCACCATGCAGATGTCATGGTCTAAAGAAAGGAAAGGTCGAATTGCCTCGTCCTTTGGTTCGCACACTAGAGGGGAGACTTGACACTCGTTGATTCGACAATGGATGGGGGTGTTGCCGGGGGATTGGAGGAAGCTGACCATGCATGAGGGGAAATGTACTCCGTATAGTATAGTACTAGTAGTAATTCATACTACTAGTAGTACTACTGGAATAGCAGACATAAACCTGGAGATAGCAGTGGTCAGCTTGGGGAGCCTGAGGAAGCAGTACACTCGGATGGGGTTTGTCCGACTTTGACTGCCTCAGGCTTACCCAGATTGGGTCAGTCTTGCATTGTGATTAAATGGCCTGAAAGGTGTCGGCGTGAAGCCAAAGAGTCCCGTGCACGTCCGTTCCCCCACCAGCATCAACGAGTCCCATAAATGCCTCATACAAATGCTCCCCAGTACCAAGTCTCTGCCGCTGTCGGCCACCATCGGCCCATGGTTGATAAGCTGTTTGGCGTTTATGCAGTCCTTATCCAATCCTAAGTTTATAGCTCCATCCCGTTATACAGCAAGCGTGTCCATTTCCCACCAAACATTTATCTCCTGATCCTAGACTTTAACCGAAATGCCTACGAGCTAAAGTAACCCACCGTACAACTGGCAATTCACGACCTCCACCTAGTCGCCTCTCGGCGGATAACTCCCATTCCCATCACAGCAGAGGGCTGGGGCGGGGGGCAAGAAACCAAGGCGCCGGGAGGTGTGAAATCATCCTGTGTGCACAGCGCTCTGTATGGAGTCCTGCCACATAGGTTGGGATAGTGTAGGACCTACCCCTTTAGGCCGACCGGTGACTGATTGCTGCGATGACCACAACGCATCGACCAGTTGAACGCTCGACTGGGTCTACCCACGAGCTCAATGCCACATGCGATCTCACTCCGCAGCGATCTGGTTAAACTTTGGTCGGATTTTTAACCGCAAGAAGTCAGATGCCTCCTCCCGGTCCTATGCATTGCGTGTATCAGACCGGGACATGAATCTCCAAAATTTGAGTGCGGAGAGAGAGAGGGAGGGAGTCGTAATCAATTTTCGTCCAATGTCGATGCGTTGTGTTGGAAAAAGACCACCTCTTTCCTTGTCCCATTCAGCCCTGAGACTGGAAGCTAAAACGTTACCTAACTGAAATGGGACATCCGAGTAGCTCGTATTTTTTTTTTTTTTTCTTATGTTCACAAGGCAGGAGTGGTTATTTGTGTGAACAGAGCGGAATGATTGTTTCCAACCATTATGATTTGCTGAGATGGGAACAGAAACATCTGTGCCGAATGAGATCGAGTCGAACAGTCAGAGAGGGGAGACGGAAGAACGGGTAAAAGAAAAAAAAAAGAAAAGAAAAAAAAAATTCCACAAAAAACCGAGTAAGGCTTGGAATAAGTGGGGGGATCCCTGAGTCGCATGAAGCTTGACCAAGACTCAAGATTTCCGCGGCGTTTGGTTCTCTCGTTGGTGATCCAAGATCCTTGAGACTCCGCTTGAATTCGATGTCACGGGAGCCCATCTGACCGCTTCTCTCACTGGGTCAGGCATCACCAACTCAGTTTCTTTTATGTTATTGATATCCTCCATGCGACAGGTTATCTGAGTCTTCTTTGAAGGCATCAGGGTTTGGCCACTTTCAAATGTATTACCATTCTTTCTTACTCTGTTTAGACTTTCTCCCATACCTCGCATAGAGGCCCGGGACTTGGCACATCATGTACTGTGCATGTATGTACTCTGTACGGGGGCAGTTCTCTCTCCAGATAGACTCAAGTTGAGGCGGTGATCTTCAGAGCTCCAACACTGCCTCTGTGCTTCGCCTTTCTTGTCATGAATGCCTAAATCCAATTCTAATTATGGCCCTACGAACTATAATCAACATTCTACAACATCATGAAGGAGGGACCCATAACCTTGCCCAACGAGGAATGAAGAATTCTCCAAGTTGTCTATCCCTGCGGTGATCGATGTGGAGAAGTGGATGAGAAGGCCAAGAGAGCAGCGTGCTAAGTTCTCACCCTCAGGAAGTCACCCTAGTGACTTGTTTAGAGTAATTCTATTGCTCTTTGCTTATGACTAGTCCCGTACTTATCGCTGCTCCGAATGGAGCAAGATCACCCTCCCCTGGTTGTTATTTATAATGTGGTGATTAAAATTATCATCGACGCCGGACAGCCAAGAGCTGCCTATGTCATGCCCAGAACCGGTAGTCTGTAATAGTTACCAATATTCACAACACACCTCCCCCAAAATTTGATTCTGGATGTGCTGTCCTGTTTGTACTACTGATTTCTTTCGACAGAGGGAGGTAGAGTCGAAGATCGCATCATCCATTTTGGTGGCTGCGACTCTTGGCCATCACAGTAGCATTATCAGACAGTCAATAGCGTCATGGTTGGATGGGTGATCGGCCAAACCCGTGGATTCTGTGGACGGTTGCACTCCCATCGTACTCCGAGTACTGCAAGTAAGTAACACTTCATCGCAACGCAAGGGGCCTTCGATCCAAGAAATTCCTTGAGGATTCTATTGCAGCTTCCATTCCTCGGTCGCTACCTTCATCCCTTCCTAGTACTTCTTTCAATTCTAATCATGTTAGGTTTGACAAGTTCGAAGATACGGTATTTACATGTAGTATCTCTGTAAGGCTTCCCGGGAGTACAGAGCATTTCGGGGGCTGCAACCTACCGCAGGTAACAAAAAAAAGAAAAAAAGGAGCCAAGATTACGGATCAGGAACGAATGAACTGTGCTGTCAAGTAAGGAACGGGCTCGGCGAGAACGTAGGTAATGATTCATTGAAGGTTTCGTTTCAACCTCGACCATTCAAGTCTTGGAAATGAAGATATCACCAATAGTACGCCATCGTGATCAAAGAGAGTCAAATCAAACTAGACTCAATTGTGTTTAACTCGAAGATGAAGGCGCGCGTAAAGCGCCAGAGTAGGTTTGCCAGGGTTTGATTCTAATTTAGTGCTGGGAGCCGGTTTCGTCCTAGTGACCGGTTGAGTCCAAGAAAGAAGTTTGGCCGAGTGTAGCCTCAGGCTGTCAAGTTTCAACTGAATTGGTTACCATTACCCTTCCCGTCTTGGTGTTGTTCAGACACGGCGCTACGGTTGGTACGTTACCAGTAACTAGTTAGGTAAGAGTACGGAAAAGCGGTCGAGACAAAAGTGGCACCTAGCTGGAGAGTTGTCTTCGCTTGTTAGTTATAATCGTCATAATAACATGCGCACCGGAGTTATCCTGGTCTTCTTCACCATTGTCTCCATCGTCACTGAAACCGAGTGCCAGTGGTCATCTTTGTCGTTGTTCCGATGGTCTGGTAACTTACGGTTACATTACTGGTCTCTCGTCCTACAAGAGGGCCGACCAAGCGATAGGGCAACCTCTGGGACAGCGTTACGACTTACGAGTGCTGCTGCAGCTCGTGCCGCCCTGGGATCCAGCCTCGTGGGGGTGAAATGAAATGTACTTACAGTGGTACAGCATGGGATCGGGGTCCATCAATAGTTTGTCGAGATTTAGTAGCATCCATTTTTGGGTCAGATCGAAATAGGATCAAGGAATTAATCTTCTAGAAGAATAGCATCTATATCTTTTCTGATAATACCCTCCGATGGATTTGTGTGCATGTGTTTGGTTTAGTCGCATAAACTCGGTCTGTACTTTTCAAGATGTAGTTTTTGTTGGGCAAATTACCGGCGCGGGTTAGTCAGCTCGGCAGCTGCCTTTCCCTTTTGGGTAATTCCAGGGTACCTTTCCAAAATGCCTCATAGTCATCTCTCTCACTCGGCATGAATCCGGTCCCGATGGGTGAAACCGGCTCGTAACAATCAATCTTCTTTCAGTCCTTTGAATCTTAGGGTTTAACCTACGCAGTTTCAGACAATTAGACGAGATGATCTCGCTTCTAGGAAGATACAGAGATCTCCTTTGAGAAACTATCTCCTAATAAAGAATTTTCTCCCAAAGTATTCTCAATGAGATTGTTCGATGCAGTACATCGTCAACTTGCAAAAAATATAGCAATACAGTATTTTTTCAGCCAGCGTCACGTAGCCGCAGGAACAGAAGCATGCATCAGTTTGGAGAGTAAAAGCGACAGGGTGGGTCCATCTTGGCGGGGATAATTGGACCAAGCGTCTGCAGAAGAAAAGAAGGCCAAGAGAAGATCTCTTTTCCCTCTTATTTTTTTTTTTTTTTTTTTCCTTTTTTTTTTTTTTTTTTTTTTTTTTTCGATTTTGCTTTTAATTATGATTTTTTTCCTTTAAACCCTCCCACCCCTCTAAATTACGCCGTACTTACTGTACCGGCTGCTAACCATTGAATCATTAATTATTTCTATTTACCTTTGTGATTATTTAATTTTTCTAATTTCTATTTTTTTTTATTTTTAATTTTTTTTTTTTTTTTTTTTTTAATACACTTTTTGCCCTCCCCTTGTGGATTCTGCTTTCTTTTTTATTCTCCGACTTCCTCTTAACATTCCTTCTTCCCTTCATCTCGAACTCAAAGCCTACTATTGCCAACACATTGTTTTTTTTCTGGAGCTTTTCTTGAACGCGTCTTCTTCTGGCGCTCTTTGAGCTGCCATCTATTGAAGAAGGCGTAGATCTCAGATCTTGGCCGCATACCTGACGCCATCGTCTCCTTTCCCTGCTGCGCCATACCTCAACACCATGCCTTGTATATCATGACCATCTTCGTCCTTTTCGGGACCCCATTCTCTTCTGCCCTCTGGCTCGATCGGTTGCACAATTGATCGATATTGAGAGAGCATCTTCTTATTAAATATATTTGATTGATGAAATTATCGGATTATATTCTTTTCAAGCAATTGAATCCTTCAATCCTCGCTGTCGCCACTATCCTTTCCACCTCTCACCATACTACTACCTACCGAGCTGTCTCTTTATCCTCATTTACCTTGTTTCCCTCACATACTCCCTGTCGTCAGTATTAATATAATCATAAAGTGATGGCCAACTTCCGTGGTGGTGACCGACCTTTCTCGTCGATACAACACATCTTGAAGATGCTACTCTCACCTCATCAGTCTAACAAGTCTGCCCCGCAAGAAAACGCAATGACTGAGGACATCGATGAACCCCCCGATCACCGGTTCCTAAATACTGCCCAAATGAACGTTGACGACGGTGTGGTTTACGTCAAGTCTCCCACCGCCATGAGTGATAAGAAAGAATCCCTCCTCACCCGTGCCCTCCGGCACAGCCCGACTCTAAGCCCATCTGAAGAGCTTCCCTCCCCCCGTGACCGGTCCTTCTACCGCTCGTACCCTCATAGTAATGTTAGCGGTGTGTCGAGTGCTGAATTGACTAGCGACGAAGGCTTGAGCAGTCCATCCTTGTCCAGCACCCCCAGTCCACCTCTACCAGCTCAGCTATCCAGCAAAGCCCCATCAATGGGCAGCAACAAGAAGTTGACCATACAGACTAGCGAGTCGACTGTAGAGGCCAACCTCGGACGCAAGAGATGCATCAGCTTTGCATGCGGGCGTAGAACGGAGGAGTCGAAGGCCCAACCACCCACACCGCAACGACCGACCGCGCAGAAGAATGATACCAACCCTACCCCAACAGAGCCTGCGAAGCGGAGGACGGTCCTCACCTTCGTTTGCCCAGCCCGTGACCCGGAGACGAAAAGAGAACGGTCTCCGTGCCGTGGTGTCAGTGTACGATCACGTCCTCGTGGGTCACCTGCCCCGATCTCTCGTAAGGCATCTCCTGAGAAGGTTATGCCTCCAGTCGCCCAGGTCCAGAAGCCAGCCACCGAGAAGAGGGGTGTACCCACGAGCGGTCTGGGCAAGTTCGAAGAGTCTGAGGCGACTCGCTTCCACGAGTTTGCTAGCTCTGAGGAGGAAGATGATGAATGGGTTACCAAGTCGGGTGACTACACGGACAAGATCACCATGAGTGATTGTATGAAGAAAGAAATCGCGATTCGGAAACTCGGCGAAGAAGCAGAGGAGGAGGCTCTTGAGGACGAAGCAGAGGATGAAGAAGAGGACGACGATGACGATGAGTCCACTGTCAGTGACCTCTCATCGGATGATGGTAACGAGTCAGATAACGAGGCAGGCTTTGCGGATTCAGATGAGAGCGATGATGGCTCCGAGTATGAATTTTGGGCTCCTGCCACGACTACTGCTGCTACCAGTCCTCTGACTCTGGAGGTTCCTCCTACTGTTCTCCCTCGGAGGGACTCGAACACGTCTTTCGACTCTGGTCATGATGATCTGAACCGGAGATGGCCACCTGCGCTCTCGGGCAAAGGCATCAACCGTGCGAAGCCTATGAAGATGCGTCCTAGGACTCCCAACTTGCCTGACAGTACGGACTTTGTCTGCGGCACATTTGACGAAGATCGACCTCTGGAAGCTGCCTACAAGTCTTGCATCGAGCAGCGTCGACTTTCCAAGCAAATCATCATCCCTCAAGACATCGACCCTAGCTTCCCCACATCGGATCTTGATGAGGAGGATGAGGATGACGACGACGATCTGGCAGAGTCTATCATGGTCGACGAACCGGCTCGAGGAAGATCTGGGGCTGACCAGACTCGGAAGCAGTCTCCTCGCTTGTCTCCCAAGCGGATGGTCTCTCCACCTCCTCGTCGCCATGGCCGCTCCTCCCCCAGACGTCTACGCTCTCCACCACCACCGATGAAGTTAAAGTCCCCAGTTAAAGTCGAACAGACTGTCAGTGACGAGGCCACCCATCTCCAGGCTCCTGGCGTGAACATCAGCGAGTTGGTTCAACGCCGGCACGTTACTCGTACCAAGTCGCTTCCTCGGACACCCAACCCCTTCTTCGCTAAACAGGATGGCTCTTATCGCTGGACGGGTATTGTTCCCCTCCGAGAGTCACCTGAGCGTGAATCATCCCGCACTCGTGAAGTACATACCAGAGGCCCCATCGACATAGTTGAGGGTCTCGAGAAGAAGCGCCAGAAGCGCAAAGAAAAGTACTGGCGTCAACACTGCCGCAAAGCTGCCAAGGAGCAGATGGAGCGGCGACCCATTCCCGGAAAGGGTGCTGAACGGATGAAGGACCTGGGCCTCGCAGTTGCTGAGAGGTGCCGAGCCTACGGCGTCGGAGAAGACGCACAGCTCGTCCTATCTGTTTAGACCTTTCCTTTCTTCATCAGAAGGGATACATGCCTTTCTTGTACATATTGATTATTTTTAACGATCACCCACTCGTTGACTGTTGTTTCCTACCTGGCTGATGGCTTTCTGCTTCGGAGGACATTTGTTTGCATTTACAGGGCGATCGCTTTTGCTTCTTCGTTTCTTGTGATACATATTTGTTACCCGCACTCCCTTTTATTACTATTTTTATGACATCCCTTCTGTTGGGCGGCCTCTGTTTCTGGTCGGGACTCTGGTTTGGTCTGTTTTTTGTTTTAATTTTTGTTGCATGGAGGCGGTTCATGAAGTGTATACCCCCTTTTTGGTTGTTGCGCGCGACGTTGTAGATACCGGTTCCAACCGACTGATCAGTGTGCTGGTCCCTCAGAATATCCGAAATTCAAACAAATGAAAAAATATACATACAAAAGAAAAGACTTACTATACATCCTTTGTAGTTGACTTTAGCTTTTAGAATCGAAGAGAAGAAGAAAAAAATGACCGAGATTCAGGTACTAATGGGAGGTATAGACATACGTGGTCCTGGCTGATCTCCCGGCGCTTTGGTTGGCTTAGCCGAGCGCTAAGCGTCAGGCAAGCGAAAGCCCAACGTCAACCACCGCAACCGTGTCTTATCTTCTTCAAACCTCACCGCCAGCGCTCCAGCCTTCGCAGCTTCGCACTCCATATCACCGATCTTCAGTACCTACCCGTCCGGACTGAATCGATCTCACCATGTGGATCGTTAACTGGTGTACGTGCTATTCCCCCGTTTCCAGTCTGCCCGGTCGGCCGCTTGTTTTTGAACAAGTCGATCTGCATACCCAAATGCAAAACTCCATTATACCCCCTTCGGAATGGATCTCTTCTTAATCCCATCCACTACCTGGCCATCTTCTTCCTTGAGATACCGTCGATGAAAGAAATGCAGTCGCTGATGGTCCCCTCCGCACAGTCTACGATATCTTGGCCTCCCTCGGCCTGCTCAACAAGCACGCCAAGCTCCTTTTCCTCGGCCTCGACAATGCCGGAAAGACGACTCTTCTGCACATGTTGAAGGTGTGTACCTACCCCTGCACGTCCTCTCCCGCTCCCGCCACCGTAGACCCAGGCGCAGTGTGACGCCGCCGCTCAATTGCGGTGCAGGAAATGAAAGACAGTTTAGGCCATATGCTAACGCAAGGGAAATATTAGAACGACCGGGTTGCCGTTCTCCAGCCTACCGCTCATCCGAGTATGTTATCCTTGACCTCAAAACGATGTGGACGTGGCACTGGTCGATTTACCGGGGGACTAGAATCGGGTGGCAAATTGGTACAAAGACTAACCGGGCACCAACAACAGCGTCGGAGGAGCTTGCTATTGGAAACAACCGCTTCACTACTTTTGACTTGGGTGGTCACCAGCAGGGTAAGTGGATAAGACACATTTTACCTTACCTATCTATCCCTCTTCATATCTACGCTTTATCCCCAATCAATTCGCACCATACTCCTTCCATCGGGTGAATCAACATCTGACAACGCACTCCGAGTACAGCCCGTCGTCTCTGGAAGGACTACTTCCCCGAAGTGAGCGGTATCGTTTTCCTCGTTGACGCCAAGGACCACGAGCGTTTCCCCGAGTCCAAGGCCGAGCTCGACGCCCTCCTCGCCATGGAGGAGCTCGCCAAGGTCCCCTTCCTCATTCTCGGCAACAAGATTGACCACCCCGACGCCGTCAGCGAGGACGAACTCAGACACCAGCTGGGACTCTACCAGACCACAGGAAAGGGCAAGGTGCCGCTCGAGGGCATCCGACCGATCGAGGTCTTCATGTGCAGTGTCGTGATGAGACAGGGTGAGTCCTGCCAAGCCCCTCAGCCTCGTTTCTAATCTATCCGTCACATTCCATGGGAAACACAACAACTAATCAATCACAGGTTACGGTGAGGGTATCAGGTGGCTGTCTCAATACGTTTAAGCTTGAAAAAGAAAAATAAAAATCGTAGGCAAGCTTGAGCGGAAACATTACAAAGGGGGAGGGAGTTCATGAGTAGATGGACTGGACGGAGTACTTCTTTCTATTTTGATATCTCGCACATCGTCTCTCCTGGTTTCGGTGGCATGTAATTGATTATGATCAATCGTCAATCGATTTTAGCTTGTTTGAATTAGCTATTTACTAGGTCTAATTTTCTTTTCCTTTGGCTTCCCTCCGTTTCTTTGCTCTTTATTATCATCTGAAACCGTAGCGTTATACGGTGGCTCGGGGCCAACACAACGAGTGATATCACAGCTTATCATTGAGAATTTCGAGGTTTTGTGGACTAGGTAGCAGTTCAGGAAAATCGTGAATATATTTGTAGATAGTAAAGGTAAACAACCCTTTACCCTTCAAATACCGCGATGTATATATACCGCTAGAAGGGGGCATGAATACTGACAGTAGACAGCGATCCAAATATCCAACCCTCCCCTTACCAATGAAGTTATTTACTAAAATGAGAAAAAAAGAAAGAAAGAGATCGACAAGTCCGATAATTATGCCTCTAAAATACAGTAATACATTGAATGGAATGGATTGATCCGAAAAATCTCCACCACCTCTGCAGACTAGCCAGGAAGAGGAATATGGGGGGGAGAGAGCAACAGACCGTCGTCGCATCAAATGTTGGGTTTCTTTTGCCACTAGATGAAAAGAATCAATCAACCAATAACATGGACTCATCATGGACATGGATAAGGGATACATGATGTGCTGATATGATGGCATGCGGTGTTCGTTATCGTCAAGTCATCCAATCCATTCGAGTTCATGCACGGGGCCGCTTCACAAGACCCTCGGGAGATCCATTACGGGTCCACTGGGCAAAGGGTTATGGAGAGTAGAAGGGCAGGGTAGGCAAGGACGACTATTGGGGGATGGGATGGATCTTGCAGTTCAAAGACATGGACATGTCGTTGCTTATTTGGTTGGCATTACACTCACAGGAAGATTTTCAAAAAAGCGCAAACGGAGAACACCAGATGCAGCCCGTCGCTTTCCCTCCCTCAGTAAATGATTCGGACAAGACAAGAGTCAAAAGGAAAAGGAAAAGAAGTGAAAATAAACAAGGAAATAGAAAGTAAAGAAAAAAAAAGAAAAAAGAGTAAAACACCGACCCCGACGGGAGCAGAATACCTTCCATATAAAGAGATAGGGAAAATAACATATTCAGCGCAAAGGAAAAGAAATCACTCGGAGTCGCTGGAGGTGGTATGCGGGGGAGGAAATGACGCTCTGCATATCGTAAGGCTCTTTCGGGTGACCTGTTGTATCTGCTGCTTCCGACCGTCTAATGCATTGGCCATCGATGATGCGGGGGATCTGGATCCGGTCTCGTGTGGTGATGAGTGGGTGGGTATGTTGTGTTTATCTCCGTCCGAACCTGCTGCACATGGAAAAGCTCGTATGTCTTACTTCTTCTTTTGCTTTCGCGGAGGAGTGACGGGCCTGTTTGAGCTCATGCCCCCGTAAACGTACTTTTGTTTCTTTTCTGCTGGTTTCAAGATCTGCGAGGAATAGATTAGCTTTCCTGCATCGTCACATTGAGCGGGGCAACGTGAGCGGCAACATACCTGGAAGGAACAGAGTAGACTCTCATCGACACTCATCATGGCACCAGCGTTGTCAAACTCTCCACAATAGTTGGGGGCACTGAAAAGCGTGACGAGTTGACGCTTGGAGAAGAACTCATAGCCGTCCTCGACCACTTGGTGTGCACGGCAAATCAAATCCATATCATGCTTCTGGAGGAAACGGGAGACGACATCGGGACCAAACGTGAACGAAACACCTCGGTCGTTTTCACTCCAGCCCGTGATGTCCTTGTCCGGATCGGACCACAGCAGATCGCACAGGAGACCGCAGTCAGGAATCTGTTCTCGTTAGCAGGCCAAGCCTTGAGCTTCAGGAGCCAGGCGAGAGGGATTTGGATCAAGGGGAGAACCCATCGTGACACCCGGTTGAACTGCCAGAGGGCAAAGAAAAATCTCCAACCGATAACCACGACGGGCGGGGGGGTGGGGTAACAGAGGGGCACTTACATCGGTGGGACGCATCACACGACGAATTTGCTCCATGGAGTTCAGATCGGGGCTCAGACCACCGTGCATGGTGAAGATCTTCTCATCAATGATAGCCGCAATGGGGAGGCAGTTGAAGCAATCGGTGAAAGTCTTCCACAGCTTGATGTTATACCTCCGCTTACATTCATCGTAGAAGCCGTAGATACGGTTGATGGACGCGCATTCGTGGTTTCCACGGAGAACAAAAAAGTTTTCGGGGTACTTGATCTTGTATGCCAGGAGTAGACAGATGGTCTCGAGGGACTGCTTGCCACGGTCCACGTAGTCTCCAAGGAATAGGTAGTTGGCCTCGGGCGGGAATCCACCGTATTCGAAAAGACGCAAAAGATCGTAGTATTGGCCGTGAATATCACCGCAAATCTGACCGCGCCAACATGTTAGCCCTCAGGGACAATGCCATTGTTACCCAAGATTCCGGCTCAGGAGACAGGGCCGCAGCGTTACCTTGATTGGCGCTTCCAACTCTAGCAAGATGGGTTGCGAGATGAAAATTTCCCGAGCCTTGGTGCAGAGATAACGAATCTCTGATTCCAACAACTGAACCTGCTTTCCAGGGCGGCTACCCCTCACCTCCAACAATCTATCAATGATCGAGTCCAAATCCACTTCCTGATCAGCCATGGCGACGGGGCTCTAATGAGAGACGACGGGAATGAAAGAAAAGCAAAGAGTAGATAATGCACACGAGCGTAGGCAATGACGGAAAGAAAGAAACGGGAAAAAAGAAAAAAAGAAAAGAAAAGGAAGGATAAAGAGTAGTTCGCGAAACGCTTGTTACAATGACGCGGCGTCTATACTGTGATAACTAAACTATTAGCATCCTTCTCCGGTCATGGAGGATAGAAAATTTCGATGGGTCTGGTCAAGGCCCGGAGAAAAACGCGTGAACAATGCGCTCGGGCTCGTCGTGGTTGAGGCAGCAATGAAAGAGGGGTGGAGCGCTTACCAAACGGATCTAAAGGGAACAACAAGATATGGAAACGGAAACAGGCCAAACGGCCTTGTACAATCGGGGAATCTGGCGAGGAGCCAGACGAGGTGTGAAGATCAAACACTCCCCTTCAGATCGTAGATGACGCACGGTGAGAATGAGGTGAAGCGAATTCCGAGCGATGAGACGAAGCCTCAAAGACTGGACGAGCAAAAAGAAAAAAAAAATAAGTTGTTGACCAGAAACCTTAGGCGGAAAACTCGACGGGGCTATTAAATTTCCCTTTTTGGGGAAAAGAGGTTGCGATAGAATGGCCGAAAAGCCGTGTAAATCGGAAGGTTGAGATGGGAAAGCTTGCCAGGAAAGCGAAAGCGATCTTGTGGTGGCGTGAAGGGGTTGTTGTGGAAGGGGATTGTTGAGAAAGAGAGAGAGAGAGAGAGCGAGCGAGAGAACGAAAGCGAGAGCGTCGGCAATCAAGGGATCTTTTTCCTGTTCCGCTCAGACGGCTGAAAATTTTTTGATAATTCGGCCTAGGTTGGGACCTATTTGGGCAGCAGAATGAGAATGAGGATTTTTCTTTTCTTTTCTATTTTTGTTTCCTTATCTTGAATTCTTCAGGGAGAAGAGAGAGAGGGAGAGAGAAGAAGAAGAGGAGTAGGAGTAGGAGTAGGAGTGGGCAGGGTCGAGACGGGGAAGGAGATCAAAGGGTAGGCTCACCAAAGAGGGCAGGTCGACCAGTGAGAGAGAGAAAAAGACGAAGAGAAACTCAGAAAAGGAAAAAAGATAAAAAAAAAAGCCCAAAAGGTTCCCTTCAATCGCTCGGCCGCCCGGCCATCCTCGCGCTCTCATTGGCCCATCGTCTGTTTGGGGAGATTGTATGGATTCCTTCATCCATCATTCAATTCATTCAACTATACCTTCAACGTCAATTCTTTCAACGATGTTACCCTTATCTTGACAATAATGACTACTGGATTCTCTTCTCTCCTTTTCGCTAACAGTTATTTGGAAAAGATCTCTTCCACCCGACATGGAATACATGCTATCAATTTCAATCTGACCCCATCTGATCTACTTCTATCGCCACCAGGCTCCGATCGCGCGCGCATTCGCTCCTCAACGGCGCAGACCCTCCCTCACCAGTAGGAGAAAAAAAAAATTGACATCCGATCCATCACAGCCCATCAAATCGAATTTTCTCCTGTCAGCAGATGTTCTGCATAAAGCACTTACGTGCCTTAGTCTCCCAGTATTCTTCTCCCAACAACACTTTTACTCCTACGCGAAATCTATGACGCAGTGCATCTTCGTCAACGCCCAACGCGCTTTTGCATTCAACTACTACTACTGCTAGTATTGATTCACGGAGAGATGGTCTCACTCTCTTCTCTCGCGCACGCGCAAAATGACTCTCGCACATTTTCTCTTTTCATGTCTCATGCATTAGGTCCGAACTTCATCACTGCTCTGCGGAACTCCCGAAACTTGAGCAGGGGGTAATCTGGAATGATAGGGAGAAAAAGGAAACAACAGACAAGAGGTATACATCAAGCAAATCAACACAGTGGCATCTCAACATGCGTCAGTCAAGCCCCCTCAGTCAATCATTAGAGAGGATGAAGAATAGAGGATGAGTTAAAAACAGACGAAGAAAAAAGGGCCAGGAAATCATCAAAGGCGGGATAAAAGAAGAAGAGAAAAGAAAAGAAAACAGAAGCTTCAGAAACGCCTATGAACACCATATACCCTTCACCAAATACAATAATACATGCGGTCTAGAGACGGTGAATTTCGTGAATAAATTGCCTCCCATAACATGGACCAGCCTGAAACGGTCGAATGCAAGGTGTAGGTAGATAGGAGAGTTGTGAGGGTAAAAATATCGTAGTCGTAAAAAGCAGAAATGTTCAGACATCCGGCCCGCTATCTTGAAAGGCCATAGAACGCCACCAAATGCACTCAGTGGCCAACTGCCACTGCCACAGGTATGAAACGTGACGGGGGTGATGGTAATAGTTAAGAAAAAATGGATAGGCGAAAGGAACCAGGTAAACGAGCCAACTTGAACGACTTTTGTGCTGCTTGGCCGTATGCCAACCAGTAGATACGGATGGGCAACTCAGGGTCGGCCTCCGCTCAGAATGGGTAGGTTGTTTGCCCGGGTAAGTGCCTCTGCTGGGATAATTGCTGAATCCCCGAGGTTCACACCCGTGCGAGGAACGTTGATGTCCCGTGGTGGTTGATCCCAGCCACGGTCTCCCAGCGCATGGAGCCAGGTGTTGCCAACGTCGTGTTTCAGAGCCTCCAGTTGCCGCCGGTAAAACTTGCCATCCGCGTTCCAGTCCAGATCCTGGACTGCCCGCGGTATGACAAAAGACTCGTTCATCGGCTGGCTGGTGAGGTCTGGATCACTGTCGACTTTTTCTGGGCTTCGAACTTTCGCAGGTCCGACCTGAGGTCCACCATCAGATCTCCGTTGACGGTCGGAAGACGGTGTCACAAATGGATCACCGGGTAATTGAATATGCTGAACGGGAAAGGCAGAAGGCACCATCGCACCTGGGGTTTCTTTACCATCAGTTGAGGCCTTCTCCACAGACGTGTTGACAATCCTCCTTCGATGACCCTTCTTGCGACGAGTAGACCCAACGCCATATTCATTTTGTGGTGTTCGTCGTGTGTAACCATCTTCTCCCTCAGTGGGCCCGACAGCTGCGGCTCCCGGTACCGCGGTGTTGGCTGGCTTGCTGACGACGGCCGAGTGGTCCGCGGCAGCTGATCGTATGACCGGTGTACCTTCGGGCTCGGCAACCCGGTCAATTAGCTGCTTCCTCTCCGTGTACCCTGGACCGGAACCATCGATAATGATGTCTTCTGAGTATCCCGGAGTACGACGGAAGAGGTTGAAAATAACAACGCGGTAGCCAGAATGCGTTTTCACGAAAGGATTTCCAGACACCCAAATCTCCCGTATCTCAGGGAGACTAGTTAGTCTGGCAATCTCAGTGGGGTCGGTCAGGTCGTTGTCTCGAAGGTCCAACCTTTCCAGGGAGAGAAGCCTTTCAATACCCGCAAGCGAGCGAAGCCGGTTGCCGCGTAGGTTAAGAGCGGTTATAGCAGGAAGAGGGTTGCGAGACAGTGAGTGGAGAGATTCTATCATGCAGTTTGAGAGATTAAGGGCTCGTAAAGCAACTAGTGTTGCGAGGCTGTCCGGGACCTCGGTGAAGAGATTCGCCGACAGATCAAGAGAGTACAGCGTGTTGGCAACCGGAGCAAGTCCGGCGGCCGTGATGGAGGTTAAAGAGTTATCTGGAAGACCCAGATGCCGCAAAAATTGCCATTTGGACGGCGGAAGACCGCCAGCAGCAAGGTTCGAAGAACTTCCATTACGATGACCGGTGTTATCACTCGAGTTTGAACTACCAGATCCGGTGCGTCGTATGCGCCGGCTATGGCGGTGGGAAGAGTGTTTGGAGCTTGCCGGGCGCGTGGGCGAGATACTTCCCGTTCGTGCATGACCCCTGGCACCTTCGGATCCTACTCTAAGCATGGGGGCCGCCTGGGGACTGGTGCTTGTACCGAACGCCGTATCAGCCACCGGGGACCCTGGGGCAGAGAGAGAGCCAGAGACGTCGGACTTATAGACCGGCTGAGGGTATGTATTCCCACTCCACCCCAGGACAGGCGATTGCTGATTCTTGGACGACCGCCGCCGACGCTTGTCAATGTCGTCCAACACTATCCCCGTCAACAGATCCGCGGGATCTTCGATTTTGGCTCTTTTCACAGTAAGGGTGCGTAGTTGCTCGGATAGTCGGTCCCAGCCGTAAAACGAGCGAAAGTCTATATCAATTATCTCTAGTCCACCCAAATTTTTAAAGGAGTGGAGAGGGACAGCGGTATCAAAAGGAAACTCTTCGTATCCGCGGATCAGGCGGGCACGACGGTCAGGGGCTAGACGCAAGCACGGGATTTTAGTAAAAGCAGAGTATAGATATTTAAGGTCTGCTTCTAGGGCTGCTTTGGCCTTCTCTGACTTGGAGACGGAGTCCTTCGAGCCTAGCCCGAATGACGACCAGAGAGCACTCATGCCAGACATGACACTACGGACACTGGATACAGAGTGGATAGAATCTCTGTCGCCCCTGGACCGCTGAGGCTTATTCAGGAAGGAAACATAGGACTGCGACACGTCGGTATGAATATTCTCCAGTCTAACATTCATAGGGCCCACGGCTATAGAGAGTTCTTCGAATCGGGAGAGGAGGTAGAAGAGGTGGTGAGGGGTCAGGGTAAGTTTAGCGGGTTTAATAGTTTGAGAGGTGAATTTCAAGGCACCGAATGACAAGGCTGCCGCCAAAGCCGATGAGGCCGAGCTCGTAGACGAGCTCGACTGAGTGGACGCATTCTTGCTAGGCTGACGTTTCAACTGAAGTGCGTTGGCGAGTGCCTTCTCATGGGTTCGTACAAAACTGGCGAGATTCTACATAAAACCCCTGAGTTAGTGGATAAAGAAGCCAGCTTATTGACAAGCCAGGGCAAAGAATGAACAAGACCTATGTCATGCATGGGATACGAACCTTTATGAAAAGCTGTCCATCTTCATTGTTCAGCTTCTCCATTACGGACAATGCCTCGCCCAACGAGACACGATCACGTCAGGCGAACTTTGAAGAGGAGCGCTCAACAACTACTCGCAGTGTTCAAAACAGAAGTCGACATTTTGCTGACAACCAGAAAAGTGAGACGCGAGAGGACCTGTTACGTCAGGAGAAGCAAACAGTTAGCAATGATTAATGAAGCATGTCTCCCATGCCCGTGATGTAGTGATCCCAGGGCTATTGGGGATCATAACCGGCCTGAGGGGTGAAAGAAAGAAGGAAAAAAAAAAAAAAGGTAAGGCAGAGGTGAGCATACCTGGAAAATCTCCGGGGTTAAAATAATCAATAAGAGACCTTGTACTAATTCACGAGGTCTCCAACCACGACGATGATTGATAGATGGCTTGGAGGAAGAGAGCTGAGACAAAAGTTGATTCTCAGTACTCAGCTGAGGAAAGACGTAGTCGCCTGGACAGAGAAAATGAGGCGTGTTGAAAACAGTGACCAGCCAAAAGGAGAAGACGGGATGGGATGGGATAGAAAAGACAGGATCCAAGGGCGCTAAAATGCGAGAACCACCCTCTAGTGGAATTAGTGGTGGTGGATGATGGGGGGCAACGGTGGATATGGATGTGCACCTCGATCAATCAGCTGAGAGGGGCTGAGAGGCGTCAGCAGCGAATGACAGGGTAATTTAGCTTGAGTTAAATTGGGGAACAGGAAAAATGTCAAGTAGGCAACGGAGAAAAAAATGTATAATAAAAATAAAATAGAACGTAAAAAAGTAACAGAAGCAGGTAATTTTTTTTTAATACACTCCAAGAAAGGATTCGGATCAATGTCGATGATGAACCACCCAATCTGTTTTAATTGATAAATAGATATATACTCGTGATAATAGAGGGGGGTTTGAGAGGGAAAATAATGGAAGCGAAGGAAGAGAGAAAATGCTGAGGGAACAGCGGCTGGCGATATACTAATATAATTAATTATCGTATACGGATATAAAATGATACCCTCTTATCGGTGCTCTGATCTCCCTTTGGTTGGCGAGCCGCTGTACCCGTGCTCAAGGTCCGTACATGCATACGTACCGTACGGTACGGGCGCAGCCGGGTACAGCTGGGAATACTACGCTGTATGCGGTATACCTCGTATGCATCCATGGTTTTCTCTTTTCTTTTTTTCCTTTCTTTCAATTGTTTTAACCTTTACCCCTTTATCTGTAAATCTCACTGGTGGCCACAATGGTTCGTATAAATAAGTCGTTACTCAGCGTGTCGACCGCTCATCCGTCCTTATCAAATCATGAAGACGACTCTATTCTGGAAGATTGACCAAGAGAATGAGTGTATCTCCAATGGCGGGGTTGCGAACCTTCTCTTGTATCCCTATCGCAATTCTGTACCAGTCATGAGCGCCCGAAATTTGGGGAATGGCTCTTGGCCCCTTTGGTGAACCATTGGAACGGCAAATATCTATCAGTTTCAGATTGAAAAGAGTGTCATGTCATCAATCAACATAACATCCAACCCAGAAAGTGACATTCTTCGGCTCTGTAAGGTGGAGTAACTTTCCGAGTCCCTCGAGAGCGGGTATCCCGATCGGTCGACCCATTTCTGTACGTACATTGAATACCAGGATGCGAGAATAGATTAAAAACAATTTGTTGATCAGAGGTCAACACGAAGACGACAGAAAGGCTATCGATAAATTAAGCTAACAGGCAATTCGCAATGTGATTCGTATAGGTACTTTCCCACGATGGCAGATGAGCTGATCACTAACAAATAATTCGTTTTGTTTGTAACCAATTCAAAAAAGGCTTCGACCTTCCTTCTGCAGGTCGGTGAAAAAGGTTTTCTTTTCTTTTCTTTTCTTTTCTGTTATTTTGTTTTGTTTTTCTTCCTTTCTTTTTCTTTTTTACTTTTTGTTGGAGGGGTGGGAAGTGATGGTTGGAAGGATGTTAGGGTGACCCGTGCTTTCGTGACCTAAGGTTGAGAAGACCCACCCGCTGGTACGGATAGTACACATCATGATTGGTGGTGGGGCGCAACGTGCAGCCGATAGCGTCCTGGCGGGCATTTCAAGTTGGTCGGCATTGGACGAATCACGGACATACCATGGTCACCTGCATGACGCTTTACCAGGTAGAGAGGCTCTAGGGGGTGTTCGAAGTTGGCTCATGCAGAGGTATGGCGCCAATAGGGGGTATCACTAGTACTTAGGTACCTTAGTAGTACCAAATGCTCCTACTAGTAGGTACTCTTGTCGTTCCTAAGTATAGGTATCATGCAAAAAGACCATACAGTAGTGGCTTCATCTTGATGAGGTCTAGAAACGTTTCAGCAGATCCATGGCGCTTGTATGCATGAGATCCTACGGTTACTACGTACTACCCTACTAGAGACGAAATTCGGAACAAAATGCTCCTGGAGGTACCTCCCGCATTTTTGTTTCCTCTCAGTGCCCGGAGTACTGCGTCGGTATCTCGCACTGACGTTGACATTCTTCGGAGGCTCAAGTGGAGGGCGCTAATTTGTTAGTTCCTCAATCTTTTAGTATCAAATGACCTCAGCCTACTTCGGACCGAGATAAATTCAGCCATCAACCGTCATGTTATATGGACGATCGCTTTTTTTTTTTTTTCTTTTTATTGCCCTTAACTCATGAGTTCGATCTGAGTCAGTGCATTTAGTGCTGCTATCTCAATTGACAAGAATCATGATTGATAGAGGCAATGATACGGATCTGTGACTCAAGCGCTATCGGAAGAAACGATAAGACTAGTAGTCCGATCGTATCATCGATATACTCCATAGTAAGTTACTAATGAGTATCCGCCTGTCAGTCACACCGCTCATGCTCCATCATCACACCACACATTCTTCGGTAATTCCATCCCTCCATTGTCCCAAATCGGAAAATAGGTCATTAAACATACATCATACTTGACCCACGGGTCCAACCCATTTTCTTCCTTTGGCCTTCTTCGACTTTCGTCTCCGTCTCCAGTGGCCCACGTTCGTGTGATCTCGTCTAAACACCGATCGTAACAAGGATACTGGTCAGTGGCTTTGAAAGGATGACGCCCATGATTGGTACATGACCGTAACCCGCCGCCGGATATGGAAACAGAACAACCTTTCGTGCCGCATCTTCAGACGTATCTGATTGGGATTGAATGGAGGATGCACATGTTACCTCAGGCGATTCAACCATGTTTCAAACATGATACATATGTTGCCTCGAAATTACCAGTATATTTGAGGTGGTAGGCGAAGGAGGTATCAAGTAGTAAAACCAGTTTTAACTGCCCGTGGGCGTGCATTGCCATATTAACTGGACGGTTAACCTATCGATGCCGAGCGAACTACAGCTGTATGTTCTTAGACTTGCAGCACGTACCTGTACAGTGAGACCTGCGGTATCACCAATAGGAAAAATGTTATCCAAGTCAGGTTCTGCATAACCTCGCAAGCTAGGAGTCCTACGAAAAAGAAGAGTAATCTGCATTGGCGGATTAGCATATAACCTTTCGATATTATGCATGAAGTAAGGAGTAGGTTTCCTTAGGGGGGTGGTTGAGCAAGATCCCTGGATCATGGTGTAAGACGTGATGGGGTAAGAATGTTCTTGGCGACAACACCATGATTCCTCCACTCTCCAATGTAGCAATTTGTTTTCTTCCATCCTTCATATACCTACGTCAGTGCCAGAAAACTGAGCAAGAGGTGGTGCCGTATGTGTATACTGTCTCTGTACATCCAATACATGGAGGAGAAAGAATTGGATCTTTAGGGTGAGGCACTGTATTGGCACGGGATTCCTTATTCTGTCCTTCACCAATCAAGCGCCGGGCCACTCACATGATCATCAATTTATGACATCGTTGTCTCTATGGCAAAGCAAAAAAAGAAAGGGGGAAAGAAAGAAAGAACAAAAAAAAAATCATCTCAAAGTGAATCCTCCAAAAGGGCAACCCAGCCGGCGATTAGTCGGTGGATTGGTGGATATGGGAGATCTGACGAGGCGGGTCTCCACCAAAAGGTAGTCAACCGCTCGAATGATCAACGGGTGGCTCCCGCGAGGTGTGAGTCTCCTACCAATCACGTTCGTCCGAGTAGACTTTTGCGTTCATGAAGTGACGAAGGGCTAAGAAGTGCCAAGCGGAGATGTCGATAAGGGAGGGAGTAGTATCTTAGTGTGCGCACTGTGTACTGTCTGTGTGTGTGTGTGGCACACGTACCCAGTGGGAAAAAACACCGACCCCGATCGTCATGCATTAGAGAGAATGCGGGAGAACAAGGGCGAAGATGAAGTGGTGGTGTTGGGGTAAAAAGGTTTTTTAAAATTAGCCCTGATGCAGCCTCCCCTTTTAGGAAAGCCACGAGAGCGATTGATTCAGTCAGGAATTCCATTCCAAAGACAAAGGGGGGTGAATGTCCCAAGGATGCGAGCCGACTATGAAACACCAAGCGGTTATCGCGCGAGGAGTTTATTTTATTATTATTATTAATTTTTTATTATTTGAAGGAAAATAAAATAGGTAGACCGCCAAAATGGCAAACATTGTCTTCATTTGCCGAGATATCCAAAGCTTCGGGTTTAGAAACCTGGTAGAGCGGATCGCTTCATCCTGAAATTGAGTGGATAAAGAAAAGTGGGAAGAGTATATTGGTGGAACGAAACGCAACCAAAAGGTAATCAGAGGTAAAGTTTCAAGTCGAGGGCAAGTGAGATCAAGAAAGAGAGGGAGAAAAAATATCGCAACTACTGTAAGTAAGAAGTGAGTTGTTACAAAAACATCCTTATCAGGCAACTGTTGCTGCGGTCACGTTCCCCATGCATTTTTATTGCATGATAGTAAAGTCTTCCGGCGGCACCCAAGCGAGTAGGCTAAAATGTGAGCAGTGGAGAGCACCTTCTATTGTCCATACTCGGACTGGTTTAGTCCGCTGGAGTGCAGTCAGACCAACCATATCGAGCAGTAGCTGCAAATCATCCACCCGCCTTGTTTTTGTCGCCTTCAAGGACGAAAAGAAAAATCTCCAGTAATCTTGACGAACAACTATTTCTTCTAAACTATTATTAAGAGTTTTCTTTCAACACGACCCCTCCGAGAGTGCCACTTGTAAAAATCTCCGAACTGACTAGAGATTCACCCCGCAATGCAATGCTCGATGTTCTAAGAGGCTTGTTTTCAATATAGTCAAAGCTGTACAGTTGGCCCAGTCTCGAATCCTGCGAGGTGATACAGACAGTCGCAAATACAGTATAATTGGTCGGTACTATTGAGACCCAAGCTGCTAATGCTGTGAAGTGACTCTGGAAAGAGGCGGCACTTCTTCCAAATAGTCGAAATGAGACTTCGCATGAAGATACGACTGGAAAGGTGTTCCCTACTTTATTGCCATCGGAGTTCCGTGGGTTCCATTCCTGAAGTTGAAATGGTGTAATGTACAGGAATCCTGGAGTTGTCAACATTGATTGCTCATTTGATATCATCCATGACCTAAAATTTCCATGATCGTGGTAGGTCAGCCATTCCAGATGGCCGATCCCGCGTGTTTTCTCCCCCACGCAGAACGTTGGTGTGCGTGGGCAGGACGCATACCGATGCTCCCCAGATTTCAGCGACACATGCTTCATTCCATTAAAATACGTGGCTACACTTTGTTATGTAATTCGCTCAAATTTAACCCGTCGGCTGGTGATCATGCGATACTTCGGGTAAGGATTGTCTCCTTCGCTTCTCTGCAATGTCGATCTATCAGCGTCACGGGCCATTTAGGTAAGCACGTTTTGTCGCGTTGGCTGTAGGAGAAGACAAGGGGAAGTTGCGTGGGGATGGTCATGGAAGGGTGGATTGATTCCCATGGTTGAGAGATGTATCAGATTACTCTTAAGGTTTGATTGCCGTTTTGTCTGGTGGGAAGTTGAAAAGATGATAGAGCAGATACCAACCAAGTCTGCATGCAGGGATGGTCTGATCCTTTGGTCTGACTCTGCATATTGTTTGTCTCGACGGAAGGAAAGGAAATGCAAGTGATAAGAATCCTTCGGAAAAAAAAGAAACGAAAGAGAGCCAGGATTATCACTTACTATTATTGTTCATAATATATTAGTTAATGTTATAGCCATTTCTTTTTTGAGGGTAATGTGTACTGTAAGTATGTATGTATGTGAGTGTTTACGAGAACTTATAAACTCGGTGTAACTTTGGAAGACGGTTCGTCAAAGAAGATTAAACCCATGTCTGGTGGGACCCATGGTTCTTCGGTCCGTCTTGACGAGCGCGGGGTCAACAACGGACACCAACGGTTTCTAGGGAAGATTGGGTGGCGGAATGCCAAGCTCCTCTGCCACAGATACTGTGGCTGATGTCCAACCGTGAGGCGGTGTACCTTCTGACGTGACGTCGACGTACATGTACATTTTGCCTGGTCCGACAAGGATTCCGTGCCATTGGATCCATTGGTCGCTCAACCAGATCCCAACATCTTGCTCGACCATACTAATCATCTTGCCATCCATCATGAACCATATCCAACAATGAACTCATCGGAGAAGTCTGCGGCTTGCGACATCTACGATCCCAAATCGATTCCGGACTATGACCGAGAATTTATCGACCCTGATGACTTGCGCCAATTCGAGAATGCGCTGAACGACAACGAAACCAGCTCCTTGGTAGCCCTCAACGATTGGCGACCTATCTACCAACGAGTTCGCAAGAATCGCGGCCGCCGAAAGCAGCCTCGCCGAACTACCGATGAAACGAGGGAAGGTGTCCTGTACACAGTCCTGAAATGGCCGTTTCTCTTCATTGTGTTTGGCTGGATTACCGTTCTTGGGTTTGCCTACGCATTGACCCGCTTTTATATCGTATTATATGAACGATGGGTATCCTGGAGGGGCAAGAAGGAATCTCTCAGGCGGGAACTCTGGAAGCAGACGGATTACAACGATTGGTTGAAAGCCGCCCAAGCGCTAGATGACCACTTGGGAAACCAGCGGTGGAAGGAAATCGATGAATATGCGTACTATGATCATCTCACTATCAACAAACTGGTCAACCAGTTACGAAAGGCGCGGACAGATGTCGAACTGCAGATGCGAAATGGAGTTTCCAGCTCGACCGTGGCCCCTGCGACCGAAGAACTATGTGCTTTGCTGGAGGGCTGTGTCAAGAACAACTTCGCAGGGGTGGAAAATCCTCGACTTTATAGTGAAACGTATTCCGGAACTAAGAACCTCGTGCAGGAGTACATTGACGAAGTGGAGAAGTGCATCCAAGTGGTATCGAGCAACAAACGGGTCAGCTGTGAGGACAAGTATCAGCATTTCAAGCATCTAGATACGAATTTTGGACGGACTGCCCTTTGCTTATCCGGAGGTGCCACCTTTGCTTACTATCATTTCGGCGTGGCTAGAGCATTGCTGGATAACGGAGTCCTGCCCGAAATCATAACGGGAACATCGGGAGGAGCCTTGGTTGCTGCCTTAATCGCGACTAGGACCGATGATGAGTTGAAACAACTCCTCGTCCCGGCTCTGGCACATCGTATACGTGCAAGTAGTGAAGGCATGGCGTCATGGATTTGGCGTTGGTGGCGGACAGGTGCTCGGTTCGACACTATCACATGGGCCCGTGAGTGTAGTTGGTTCTGCAGAGGATCCACTACCTTCAAAGAGGCGTACGAACGGACGGGACGTATATTGAACGTTTCGTGTGTGCCGTCTGACCCTCATTCTCCTACAATTTTGGCCAATTACCTGACTTCTCCTAATTGCGTCATTTGGAGCGCCGTGTTGGCCTCAGCCGCGGTCCCTGGTATACTCAATCCCGTTGTTCTAATGACCAAGAAGCGCGACGGGACACTCGCCCCGTACTCATTCGGACATAAGTGGAAAGATGGTAGCTTGCGCACCGATATCCCTATTAGGGCGTTAAACCTCCATTTCAATGTCAACTTCCCTATTGTTTCACAGGTAAATCCGCTGCTATCCCAAGATCCGTCAAAGTTAAGAAAGTCTGACACATCTATTAGGTTAATCCTCATATCAATCTTTTCTTCTTCAGCTCCCGAGGATCCGTTGGTCGCCCGGTTACACACCGAAGAGGCCGAGGGTGGCGCGGCGGTTTCCTGGGGTCTGCTATAGAACAATATATCAAGCTGGATCTGAATAAATGGCTTAGAGTCCTACGACACTTAGAACTGTTACCACGGCCACTGGGTCAAGATTGGAGCGAGATTTGGCTGCAAAAGTTTAGTGGGACCATAACGATCTGGCCCAAGACCATCCCGTCCGATTTCTACTATATTCTTTCGGACCCTACGCCCGAGCGATTGGCACGCATGCTTAACGTGGGCCAGCAGAGCGCCTTTCCCATGATACAATTCATCAAGAACCGGCTCATGATCGAAAATGCGATCTTAAAGGGGTTACATCAATATTCCCCCGCGGTGTCCCCGGCGCAGTCCCGTCGAAGTCGCGGCCATACCCACAAGCCTTCGGACCCGATGACAGAACGTCTTGACCATAATCTCCCCGATCGTCAGCCTGACACCAAAGAGGATCTGTCAGATAGTTCGGGCATTGACTCCAATGTGTCATCTCGGGATTCTTCTCGTCTACAACCGTCGAGTAGCCGACGCAATCGACGGAGAAGCACGGGGAATATTTTCCAGGAGATGCGCCGACAGTCAGCTGTTTTCTTCGATGACTCAGATTTATACGCGGAAGATGACAAGAAGGCCGAGTGATCGCTCATATCGTCTTTCGTTGTCTATCTATTCCCTTTTACAGTTTGCATTAGATGGCGTTGAACTACATCATACCACCACATTTGTCCAGAGCAATATCTACTATTCCTTGGATTTTGTGTACATTATATTACTCTGTATTAGATTTTGAGAAGATTCTTCCGCATATAATTCCCCTTATACATATGTTCCCAAGTTGTGGTCACGAGGGATCCCCCCGCTACTGAAGAGGTTCCTTGCGGAAGTCCGTAGCTTCTTTTGTCGAGCCATCGGCTAATTCAATTAGCTCGATAATCAAGCGATCTGCTATCTGGAACGCTGTATCCCCTTGCTCTGTCGCATCTATACTCTATATCACTTCAACCGCCGTAGTAAGTACCCTTGATAGTTTGCCCTTGAACACTTCGCCCTGCTCTCCTGCCATGACTGGTATAAATCTCTCCCGACGCTCCCGTCTCTCCGAGGCGTAGATTTGTCTCGATGACCATTGCTTCATTTCACGATAGTCGGACCAGTGCTTCACTTGTGAGCACTCTAGGTGAGCACTGTTGGCTCCCCGTATCGGTTCGAATACAATCCCTTCCAACTTCTCCTGGAACATCGTGGCCAGCATCAGAAATAGATAAACCTTATCAAATTGTTGTACTCCCTTTCCTTGCTGATCCAGGTCTGAATGATAACCCGTCCAAGCCGCTGCGATTCCTCGCTCTGAGGAGGTTGTTGATATAATCTTCGTTCTAGCTATCTGTAGCAGTTTGACATTTGGTCCCCCCTTGGTTCCTTTGCTTTTCCTGACAATATCTAGATCAGGACGGCAGGTTATTCAGAATTCAACCTTAGTTTCATAGATACCGGTTCGTCTTGAAAATACCGCTGTCTATTACAGCGAGTACACGACCTCAGTGGCGCATTTTGTACGTGATCGGAGAGTACCACTAGTAGTTCCAGGGATCCCTGTTGGTTAATGTACCTTATCTCTGAACAACTTGCGCGGAACATGCTGGTCCCGGTTATTCCGAGTGCTAGGGATACCTGGTCTATTGTTAAGGTAACACAGCACAGAGATATATTAAACTCAACCATTTGACGTAATGTGTGGCTGAGGCAGGATCTTCATGGCTTCAGTCAACCTGTAGCATTGGGCCCTGCCGGCTCTGAGTAGGGCTAAGATTCATGCTAGGAACAACTTGAACTCTCGGACTCCTGGTCATCCTTGCTATCATCCCGGCGACTAGATAGATACTATTATGTAGTTAATAAAGATGTATTAGATATATATACCGCGTTGACTTTTGTTGGTGCCATTTGCTCGTGTGCCTTCTTAGCTTTTTCGTAGTATATGCTCTTAGCCAAAAAAAAAAAAAAAAAAAAAAAGAAAAGAAAAGAAAAAAAAAAAGCTCTGCGTATCGGGCAGTTCTTTGCCTGTGCCTGGAAGGGGTCCTAATCATTAGTATCCTCGTCATAGGACGCTGATTATCCGCCGTCTTCGTCTTCATCAGTTAAATCAAGGGAGGGATTCTGTGTTAGAGGCTTGATTTTTCATAATTTATTCCTTGGTTCACTAAGTGGTGGATATCAGTCACTTGAGTATTCAAGACTGCCAACCTCGAGGTTATAACCCCTACAACAACTAAGGCTTCAAAGAGTATGATGCTTAGAGGTAGTGAGAGGAGTATTCTGCAATATCTTGCACTGCAAAGCTCCACATAATCGATCAGCTAGCAAAACACTGACAACACTTTTCTTGGGCATATTTCGTAACGGACTCCCCAGATTATTGAACCGCATTGTGACTACGCGACATCTCATCGGATACGTGTCATTCTTGGTGTTAATGCCGACGGGATATTGTAAGTAGTTTTCGGCGTATACCCCCCCTTTATAAAGCGTTATGGGGTAAAACACCTCGAAAGGGAAGACATCCCACTAGAGAAGTCCAATTCCCTTTTGGAGATATTCCAATAATGCGATTCTAGAATTACTCTCACCTCTGCGTTGACACCTCCTGGTCCTTTATTTGGCCACCGGCAGGAATTAATACTAGACAAGTTAGGCGAAGTCCATGTACATGGGAACCCCTTAACGGTAACCATTGCTGAAGTAGTTTGCAAAGTTAACGACAATATCCTCGACTCATTGTGGCATGGAATCGAATGCAGGGTATTAATCATGTTAACACCGAATACAGCAGGTTCTAAATTACTTCTAGTTTGCGTTGTGCTTTAAATCTGTATCCCATAGGGTGGTACCGGCAAGCTTCCTAAAGGCACGGGCCCCTTCTCTTTGCATATCAGGGAAACCAGTAAAGTCATCTTTCTGTACGTCGAGTCCGAGTCAATGTGATGGGTTATGTGTGGCCCCCAAGTAATGGTCTAGTTAAGTGCATTGTGCCATAGAATCGTTGTGCGAAACAGCTCACTAAGCTCGATGGGTTGAACTCGACTGCCTAGAGCCAGTCGGAAATTGTGTAAATAGATAGACAGTCCAGGATTTGGGTTGGCTTTAGCGTCTGGCGTTAGGTGTGATAGTCTCTATCCCCTGATGCGATCCATGATAGGGTAAGATATATGACATTGTCCTCCTGGACAGGATAGCGCAGTTCTAACTCTATTGAGAGATGTGGGATCTCGACACCACCATTGAGCTGCATGAAAGTGCTTCATCGCAAATGGATCCGGTATCAGTCCCCAGAATTCCGGAGTCAGAGAGAGTTGTCCTGTCTCGCATTAGTGGTTTCAACATATTGTTGTGTGGTATAGAAAAAGACTCGTCCCAGGTTGCATACTAGTAAAACTTCAACATATGCGCTTGAATATTTCCATGTGCATTTATACTTCCCCAAGTTGCGCTGAAGTTGTCGATTAGCTGCATACCATACAAGCTTCAGGCCTTTCTCGAACTGAAACCGTGAGGACAGTCCTTTTGTTCTTCCTCTCCCTCCATCATCATCGTACCATGCACAAGCGCGGAGATTAGGGCTGCCACAAGCTAGATAGCTGTGTGCATACTTTCCAAGGCGGGTCTTACCATGGCTGGTATGGTGGGGATATGGGCGATCGCGTTGTGGATTTAGAGGTCGGTACCAGACATTATGAGACACAAATGTAATGAGCCTATTCGCCGGCAAAAAGGGAGCTGAGCAAAAATGATAATTTGGTAAAGGGTCTCAACTTGGCAGGAACCAGATATTCCATTTTCGAGTGTGTTAAGAGTCACTACAGAGCTTCATTCCCTTGTCAAAGGGAATGGGACACGATCAAATTGGTCCCTAAAAGAAAAAAATTGAATAGCTGCCACATGGCCAAGAAAGGAGGCCTGTATGTATACAACATTGCTGTACCTCAGTATGGCCAGAAGGGCTGAATTCAAAGCATCGCAATTAGTGAGTGCATCGAGCGTGTATGAGGGTTTAAGGCCGAAGGTTTAGATTAACAACTACCCCGCGCTCTTAGTTGTTCATCCTAACAACTTGAGGTTATATCGATACTCTCTTCTCAACTTTTAGAAAAACTACCAGTTACGGTTTATCTTTGCCTTTTAATTCTCGTCATCAGGGTGATTTCGATCGAATCAATTCAGGTCGCTGACCAGGGACGAAGTTCAAGCTATCTGTAAGAAATTCTTATCTATATGTCAAAAGTGAGCCATGAGAAATTGTAAGCGTTGGAATATCTCCCATGATTTTGCAGTTCGGTACTTGAGTCAATCGTACTATAACGTTTCTGACACATTCCTGCCTGCACATCTTCTTTTGATAGAAATTTATACCTCGCAAAGTGTAAAAGGCTAACCCTAATTCTAATCCAGACCACTTATCAAGACATTGCAACCTCAACCCTTGTTGGTAGATTTGCAAGGTAAAACAGGGCCTGATTTATAGAACTGATAGAATACTAGAGTAAACAGAATTTTCCACGGCTCATACTATACAATCTTAACGGTCTAGATTACGTTCTAAAGAGGCCCCTCCTCAAGGTACTGACTGAACTACACTATTAAGCTTATTCGAGATAAGCTTCAATTCAATTGGAAACATTATTGGTTCGAAAAATCCCTCAATGACTGGATCTCGATTTGAATTTCTCCTTACAGACTAAATGATTTGACGTGCAGATCACTCGTACTACAGCATGTCAATTATTCTCTGTGTTCTAGTAGCTAGTAGCTTTAGTTATCGGTTATCGCATTTACACGTGGAGAAGTCGTGTTTGCTAGACCACAACTTCCAATCTAAGCAGCACATGGCAGGTTATCAGTGAATAGGATACGTTATGTTCTTACCTGAATAATATACTTAAACATGTTTCGGTGAGACATAGTCACTATTTTTTTTGATATGCCTATCGGATTTCTGGTCGCATCTGTGCACGAAGGGTGAATAGGTTCAAGCTGCTGTGGATACAGCAGCTTAGTGCTCTCTCAGAGCCTTCTTTATGTAAGATAATACCTTCGCTTTACAAGCACTTCCGGTCTATGGAACTCAAGAAACCAGTTCTATGATCGAACACGTTTCCTATGGCAATATCAACCCAGCCCCATAAGTAATAGCTGGATGAGTCTCCATTATGCAAGCAAGAAAGTCCATTCCACTCGACAATCAACTTATAGCTCATATGACACAGAATCCTGGTTATTATCGTGCCACAAAGCAGGAGACAGATAGACTAGCTCAGCGGGTAACCGGCTCATCTACTAGTACTTGTCTACCACCCCTACAGGGGTAATTTCCCAGAGCCAACGAGAAGACTAAATAGTGCAATTAGTTTGACAAATCAAATCAAAGCTCATACTATTCTTACACCCTTGTTTTTCACGTGAGTTCGGAGCCATTCACTTGACTGGGAGGTCTGATCACGACGATACGTCAGCCAAACAACTGCTGTCGAGGAGAGACAGTAGCATAGTGTTATGAAGTATAACAAAGGAATTATTCTGCCTGGAACGTGGTGATATATGTAAATACTTAGAAGCCGTTCCTTATCGCGATTTGGCCCCCATTAACTGAGGCTATATTATATTACCACCACCGGAAGGGAAACGGCGTTTATAAGATGCTTATCAGGATTGCGAACATAACGGCTGCATATGAACGAGTGGGACTAGTGGCCCACTCCTTGGTTATTTACGGCACTGTATCGAGACATGAAGCACGCGACCTCGAATGGGAGCTATGAATGATGACCCATGCCGTAGAGCGTTGGTATCCCTGTCCACTGTCTTGGCAGGGCTATTATTGCGTTCTTTGTTACTTAATGATACTTATGTTACAATGGAGTGTTACCTACTTAGTCCACGATACTTATTTCGGTGGTAGGGCGAGTTACTCGAAACTTGTGATTCGAAACAGCAAATGTCCTTAAATCATAATCCCCCATTATTTAAAATAATATTTAAGGGTTTCTAGCTGTTAGAACAAGGCTCGGATTATTCTTACTGGTAATGCCACTGGACTATGTGAAACTTCTCTTCTCTCTTTTCATCTCACCCTTCAACTTATCGCGCAGAGAGTCCCGGAAACTGCCATGGTGTTAGGGCTCGGGATGGGGTCAGCCTAGTAGTTGCGTTACTATAGCACCGGGTTTAATGTGGAGCCTACGAATAATACCGGATCTCCGAAGGAACCAAAACAAAATGGCTCAACTCTAGCGTCTCATTCATTGCCACCTTTTTATAAATAGGAGAGTTATGTCCAGGACCACGCCAAGTTAGAAGAGCGGAAGGAAGTCCAATCGGAAATGCTCGTTTAGGCCCTGTTGGCTCCCTCACCCTTGTCATATCAGTCATGGTTTCTACAAAGTAGGCAACGATCTTTGAGAATAATCTTCCCATGGTAGAAATTGTCATCCTCGGCATGCGAGAGATCTGGTGATACCCAATCCGATTGGGGCAAAAGAAGTACCTGGGGCCTTGGCATACAGCCCTATGTCCAATGCCTTGGAAGATTTATGTTAGCATAATAAATTTATTTTTTCATTGTTGCTGGGGTGAAACTAGCATATAGACTAGTATATGCGCACCTGCTGAGTTGTTCGAAGGGGAACCGGTTATTCTGCTTTTCTGATTCTGTCTCAATGTCGTGAGTGTCGTTGTTACTGTACTACTGCCTTATTTCAATCGTATATTATATGTGAATATATGAGTAGATAGCACTCGAAAATGCCCTCCCTGTCATCTCTGCTACGGACTTTATGTGCCATCTCCCTGCTCGGCTTGACGGCCGCCGCCCCGTCCGTGCAGACTGCCCTAGCCAACGGCCCGCGACCGATCTACGCCATCGCACACAGAGTTCTCCGAACTGAAGCAGTGACAGCGGCGATCTCCCACGGTGCCAACGCAATGGAAGTTGATCTCCACGGCGCGGACGAATGGTGGGCTGATCACGACTGCAAGAAAAACAGTGCCGGCGACACCGCCCGCGAGCTCTTCCAGTTCATCGCCGAAGAGCGTAGGAACGGCGCCAACATCACCTTCATCTGGCTGGACATCAAGAACCCCGATGAATGCCCGCAGTACGAACCATGCTCCATCCAGGCCCTGCGGGATCTAGTCCGCGAAACGCTAGAGCCGGTAGGCATCCGAGCCCTGTACGGCTTCTACCAAACCGGAGAAAGTCAGGGCTATAAGGAGATCCTGCACTCGCTGAATGAGAACGAGGCTATTTCCCTCAGTGGCTCTGCTAGGGATGTCTTTGAGATGTATTTTACTACTTCGCGGTCTCTGCCAGTGAGGCAGAGGATCATGGACTATGGACATGTCAATATTCAGAAGAATTTCGGAGATTGTCATGAGCGTGGGGGAACGACTTGTTCGGAGTTGCGCAATGGGCGCTCGGCCAGTGATAGAGGCCAACTGGGGAAAGTCTTTGCTTGGACTAGCACGGAGGGGGATACAAGATATGTGGGCGATCTGCTGAGTGTTGCTCAGGTTGACGGGATCATCTATGGAAATCAGAAGCATGATTATAAGGACGAAGCCCGTACTAGGAATGCCTTCTGGGAAATCCTAGATTTCGTGAAGGCTAATCCGGATACTGTCCGGATGGCGACGGCGGATGATGCACCTTGGTAGGTGATCTTATGTTTGGATCATTGCTGTCGATTCCGGCGTTTATTTGACAAACTTTGATTATGATTATATCTTCACTTCTGCAGCTTTGGACGTTTGTTCCTCCCTCGCGCGACACTCATCGACGTTACGCGATGAAGGCATGAATGGTCAGGTCAAATCTGCAAAACAATGTATATACCCCATTTCTTTCCAACCGCTATAGAAGTTCCTGGAAAGGGAAACAAATCCAGGCTAGCACGATCCCCGTAAAATGGAGTCCATGAGTCTCTCAATCGATTGAACTGAAGACGATATGACATTCATACACTAACCGCTTCAAGGAAGGAGGTCGTGTGACCAAAATCGGGAGATTGATTACTAAGTATCGAAAGTAACCAACTAGAAGGAACTAGATGTTACATCTTGTTGAACTTATGGGTGGCATTTTATGAATATTGGTGCCAGTGGGAATTGCAAGGCATGCTCACATCAAGTTTACTGGTGACCCCCGGTCCAGCAGCCTGCTATATAACTAACCAATTCGCGGTCACATCCTTAGCCAAGTGCAAATCTCCACTCAGAGCGTAGAGGGTTTGTAGGGCCAATGCTGCCTCGGGAGAGAAGTCTTCCACGAATGGTTCTTGGTCCAATCCCGCATCTCTCATTTCCACATCGTTATCCACATGCCTGGTGATTTGCACCACCGGCTTTGCTCCTCGATTCTCGGCCTGTATTTGCTTCCCCAGTTCTAATACACGCTGGTAGCCTTCTACGGCCAGATTAGATAAGCCAAGCATGTGCCATACTCGAGCATAGTTGAACTCCATTTCCTGTCGCTCTTGCAGAAGACTCCCTGGCCGCTCTCGAACGCGTCGATATTCCTCCATAAATGCGAGTCCTTGCATGATCATGAAGTGACGGTTTTCAGACTGACGTTTGAGGGAATGGTGAATATAACTGAGGGCGATCGAAAGAAGCACCGTTGGATTTTGGTCGTCCAAGGCATACGCACGGAAGAAGTAATTCAGAGCCGGCAGAAAGCTGTTACCAGAATAAAGTATATGACCGTACAGTACGAGAAGAGCGACATCCATAGCTTCTGCTGGAACGACTTCTCCGTTCTCATCACGCGTCGATAAACGTGCACGCTCGTGATATATTGATTCTCTCACGGGCTTACTCGACCGCAAGCCTGTGGTCCCGTCCGGGATCGTGTAGTCCATAGCTTTGATCTGCCGCAACATGAATTTCATGTTTGCTGAGGAATGGAAGAGAGACCGGTGGGGGTCCCCACAGAGGCGACTCAGCATGGAAAAAAGTCGATACGTATCAGTTACGAACTGATACTCCTTGATGAACCAGCGTGCTTCATTGGCAAGCGTTTCCTCGTCCTGCGCTCGGAGAGCACAAGCTATCTCAAGTCAGCTATGAAGCGAGCATGGAAGAAGGAGGTACTCACTGAACCAGCAAACGTGGATCAAGCGAGTGCTGGGCTTGGAATGGTACCAAATGCTGGCATCTGCTGCAGCAGCAAGCGAGTCGTACGCTTCTTCTGGTTCACCCTGTCCTGCCACAACAAGGGCGTACTGGAGGAACAGGTCAAGCCACTCATCAAAAGATATGCCATGATAGTCGGTCGGGATAGCCCCTTGAAGAGGTTCTTCGGTGATGGTGCCTATGCAGATGTTAGTTACACAAAATATACACGACTTAGTGGTTTATTCGTACCGAGAGACTCCTGGAGACGGCCAGCCATTTCCTGCATCTCATCCATCATCGTTTGACCCTTAGACTTCCCAGACTTTTTATGGGCTTCTCGTGAATAGCCAAGAAACACGGCGTTGCGCTGTAGCGGATAGAATACTCGGTTAGACCGAAACTCACGCAACAGTGCATCAGCAATATCCAGCCAATCCTCCGTGGCTTCAAGATCGCCTCCTTTTACCTTCGGCTGCAGCTGCAGTAGTTTGGTGTAGAGGAATTGTATGCTTTCTGTCCTTTCATTTTCAGACTCCGGGGAATCCTTTCGACCGAACACAGCTGCAGACTTAGTGGTAAGTGTAGGTGCTGCTGCACCATTACCTACAGAGTCTGGCAAAGCTGAACTCAAGCCAGGCGCCGCAATTTCACCTTCAGCTAACTTGAACTCCATTACTAGCTGCTCCAATCTTGTGTCTTTTCGTCGGCGATTTCCCCTGGTTTCTTGCCTGCCAAGTAGAACGGCTTCGTTAACATACTTGAATGCCTGCTCGGTCATGCCAATGCCCTCATATAACTTCGCTAGCTGTACACGAGATTCTATATTCCTCGCGTCATGCTCTGCGACTGTAAGGTAACAATTTTCGGCGTCTTCGAGCCGGTCCAGGTGCCGAAAGCAATCTCCCATTGCCATGAAGAAACTGACATCTGCATACTCTTCTGTTTGCTGTAGTGGCATGTAGAACCGGAGTGCATCTTCGAATAGCCCAACTTCTTTGAGTGCGTCTGCAACCTCCCGGAAGAGATCCCCGTAATCATAAAGTCGGGCCCCCTCGGATGTGTCATCTGGATTGAGCCACCCGAAGTGATGCTGGAAGATTGTGTTAGGAACAAGATGCGTGCTAACGATTCCATCCATACAAGAGACTCACCAAAGCTTCATCCTTATGCTGATACCCCATTCTCAGACGGAAAAGGCCAAGTTTAATGCGCAGCTCTAGAGGAAGACCCAGCCCATAAGAGTCTCGTGGCCATCGCCCTGGTTCGTAACCATCAGCCTTGATGCGCCGAGGCGAATCACTGGCATCCCATTCGCGATCGTCCTCATCGAAGTCTTCCCACATCGTGTCGTTCTTGCGGCCAAGGAGCCACCTAGAGAGCGTCTTCAGGGCCCAAAGCCCCTTTTCGGGTTGGTTTAAGTAGCTATAAAGCTCAGCATATATATTCACATCCGACCAGGAAAACTCGGGAGCTTCTTCTGGATCAAGAGATAAAAAGTATTCCACACTGTCTGCCCAGTGATCAACTGCCTTCTGGACATCATTCAAGTCAATATAGATCTCGGCAATATGTCGCAGAGCCCTGGCATTATGCGGTAACTCCTTGAGAATCCGCTCGTACTCCGTCGCAGCTCGGCCATTGTAGCCTAATTCCCGGTAGATGGCCGCTCGTTGGAAGCGTACATTGAAGTTCTTTGGGTTGATATCAATGACACGGCTATAGCAGTAAACAACATCATTGAGTGCGCTTTGGCGATCCTCTCCAGCCCGCTCCAGGATCATTCGTGCCACTTTGGCCCAGACTGTGGGGTCTTTAGGGCGCGTATGTGCACCGCTAAACAAAGCGGTCAATGCTTTGTCTTTGTGGCCCTGCGCTAACCAAATCTCTGATAAGAGAGAATGGGCAGCAAACATCTCCGGGTTGATCTGAATTGCCTGTTTTACTAACTCGATAGCATGGTCATAATCACCATCAATAAAGGCCGATGTAGCCTCCGAGTGTAGTATCTTGAACTCGGGGCTAGGCTCTAATGGTTTGCGAGGCCCGCGCTTGATACCTTTACCACCACGCGCACCAAAACGACCAGAAAAAGGCCCCGTGCCTCTGCGGCGTCTTCTTCGACGAGAATACGAATCATCATCACCCTCATCACCCTCATCAGTCAGTTCCTCATCGCTGTATGGTAGGTTAGTTTGAAATACGTTGGTGACAAACAACAAGAACCAAGATTTATACTGACGTCGAGCTTTCTTCTGGGGAGAACTCATAAGTAGAATCTTCCGCAGAGTCATCAAATTCAGCATATTCTTCAGCATCCTCGTCTTCATCGAGCGGTATTTCCTCCGGTAACTGTGAAGTATTGCTTGGGAATAAGTCCTTATATAAACGGGGGTCCAGCACCGAATGAATAGGGTCGGACGGGGCCGTTTGCTGGGGACCCTGCCACGGGTAATGTATCGTCTCGTCAATGTCAGGGTACGCGACGTCCCCAGCTTGGGTATCGTGACTGGGCTGGTCAGGATAATCCATTTTTACGATTTGGGTTTTCGGGCTATCCACCAGGGTCTCTTGTCTTGCTTAATGCTTTTCGAAGCCGATTGCCCATAAAAATCGTTGGACCCTCTTGGGAATCCCAACGCACTCCCACGGACAAATAGTGTTGCACAAAAATTGTGCGGCACCGTCAGAAAAATAATAGAACGATAGTCTTGGGCGTGGGACTTAAAGATGCCGAGGACGAGGGCCGATCATAGCTGATTTGAGGGCTCAGCGAACCAGAATGAAGAATGCAACGGTTGTGTCCACCTTGGTGCGTGTAGAGAGTAGCTATGATATCGATAGTCCGATCCTTCTCCTCGGACTGGGATTGGGAGGTATGTGGAAAAATAAAAATAGGAATAAAAATAAAATAAAATAAAGGGAGTGTAATAAAAAGTCAAAGAAGAAAAGAAAGAGAGATATCAGATGCGCAAAATTATTTTATTCATAGCAACAATTAAGCGCCAGTCAACGCTAAGCCAAGACCACCCGGCGCAGAGAGAGGCTAGAGCAGTCTGTGCAGACGCGGACAAGGTCGCCTTTGATGGAGTCGGACTCGAACTCGAGCAATCGGAGTAGGAAAAACGACGAACTAAGAGTGTCGTGCGAATAAAGAACCCTTGCTAGTGGAGTCATTGGAAGCAACCGAGAAGATGGGTTTGGATTTTGATGGAGGGACAACTTGAGAGTCTTTTCTCCTTCGGGAAGTCCAGTGACCTCCGGCCGCGCCCAAACGGCAAAGCGCCGTTTCATTGACTTCTTCTCGCTTCTTTGCCTTCTCCGGTTCCTCCTCTCAATCTTCTTCATCTTGTTTCCCCATCCTTCATCGCTGCCTTTCCCTTCCATCCTCCTCTTGTCTCCTTTCTCACCTTCCTTTTTCTTTTTCTTCCTTTTGATGCTTCAGGCATTCTGCTTGCTGTGTTTGACACACTATTGCAGTTAATCCTGACATCCTTTCGTTACAAATTAAAAAAAAAAAAAAAGAAGCCCCCAAAAAAAAGAAGGGAAAAAAAAAGCCCACACTTCCTAATTTATACCCGTTAAACGCTCCGCTTTGCCCACTCCGCGAACCCACCGAAACGTTTCTCACCCTCACGACAAAAATCCTTTGATGCTCTTTCGATTCGAATCCATTGTCAGAACTCGAATCCCGTAGTGCAGCCACTGGACTGGTCTGTGCCTCGATCGTCGTCGCTTAGAGTCAATTGTGGTTGGGTTTATCACGCTTCAGAAAAGAATAACACCGTCTCCGTCCTTAGAGAGATTGTGCGAATTTTCTTCGGCCAAAACC